TAATGTAATGTAATGTAATGTAATGTAATGTAATGTAATGTAATGTAATGTAATGTAATGTAATGTAATGTAATGTAATGTATGTATGTATGTATGTATGTGTATGATTATGTGTATGTATACCATATATATATATGTGTATATATATATGCATTGACTGTCGGAGAGAGAAGGTGGCCTCCACTGCCCCCACATCGCTACTTTCAGTGAAGTGTGGGTGGGTGGCTGTGGTTGGTATGGAGACCATCTTTGAGATTGGTTTTTTCAATTTTTATGTACCTTTAAAGATGGATTCTTACCCCAAACATACCCTTAAAGATGGACTCTTTTATGTTAAACATAATTCAAATTACCCTTAAAGATGGGTTCTTATGCTAAACATAAGGGTATGTGTCAACGTAGGCGACCCCTCAAAGCTGTGGTTGTCCTTTTTGTTTCCCGTCAAAACCAACCTGAAAAGGAGGGTACCCAAAAACCCACACCTCACTTGGTGGTTCCCAGCCATCCCCTTAGCTTCTTAGCCTTTGAGTGTTTAGTGGGGATGTCCATTTCACCCACTAAAAGTTTTGCATTTGGCGGGGGATCTGAGGACAGCCCAGCTCATACAAAAGTGTTTCCCCCCATGTTTGGGTGCGAATGGCCCTTTACTCATCCGCGCGCAGTTCAGGCCATGACATCGGAGTGCCGAGAAAGCATGCAGTCTAAAAAGAGACAGAAGCAAGCGATATATCCACTTGAAGATATACAGATTTATAGATAACTAGAGAGAGTGGTGTTTACGCAAATTTACCACCTTGCAGCACCATATCGGCAGGTGTTAGAACTCGAGCCAAGGTTTTTGCCCACGGCAAGCAGCCCCCCCAGTCCCCAGTTCTTGCAGAGACGCAAACGGCGTATTGGACGGCGCCCATGCCCTCGCTGACTTGGCAGATGGCTGGGCACTTGGACGAGCGGTTAAGCGAAGTCGTTCAGATGGTGTCCTCTGCCCCACCGGGAAACCCCAAGGGTGTCCTTGGATTGGTGGTCTCGAATTTGGATCTGACCCCCTTTCTTGTAGATGGTAAATGGGAAGTTACCCTCGGAACACCTCCAAAGCACCAGTAGGCAAGCGAAACCACTGCCCCCGCCAGGCGAAAGCAGGGTACACACAACAAGAGCCTCTTCCTTCACCTGATCTTCACAGAGATCGCTGACATTGGTCACCGAAAGCCCCAGGTTTCCACCATCTGCCAATGTTCTCAGGAGACGGGAGAAACTGGGCCAGTGCCCCCCTCAGCGTTCGTGCACATTGTCCCAAAATTCAGCGATTGATACCAACGCCACAACCCATTGTGACGAGACTGGGGCCTGCGCTCGAATTTGATGCTTAAACAACCCACAAATAGGCATGTAGGTACTCCTGTTCCAACAGAACAAACAATGGTTCCAACACAAGTTTGTACACCTACACCAATAGAAACCACTTCACCACCAACGGTAGAACCAACTCCAACACCAACAACTGAATTTCCGGATGAAAACAACGGACCAGGTTCAGGCTCTGGATCATTTAGTTTTGATATAGATGATACAGAAAATAAAAATATTCCAGCAACTACTTTACCAACACCTTCAGAAGAACCAACTGAAGTACCTACACCACCATGATATACAACTGCTATACAGCCACCATATACAGGCCTGGTACTGTTTTGGGATCCTTTTGGTAGGCGGCACCCCGGCGCTGGGGTTGCAAGAGTCGCATATGACTCCCATGCAAGGATCTCCATACATCGCGTTGAAGACATCGCTTTTGGCGTTGTGTTCATTTGTCTCGGGGTCTCGAGTTCTATTTGGACTGCTGTGGTTTGCGTTCGATATCTGCATTTTGGCGCTCAGCGTGCGAAGGGAAAGCGCAAGCTGCAGCCACTGCAAGAATCGCAAGGAAGCACCCAAGATGATCCTGCCTTCAAGTTGGAAGGCAATGGAAATAGTCGCCAGTGAAACATCAAATCTACTTCCACCTGGCTGAATACCTCCAAACTCCAACGTGCGTCTGGGCATCTATGGGTGTCATTCTGTCGATGTCAGTCTTGTCCTTGTCAGCACCAGCTTCCAACAAATGTCGCAAAAGTTCGTGATCTCCCTTCATGGCATGAGTCCTTGCTTGGTTGTCAGCCATATCCATGTCAGCGCGGGCTCTCAGCAAGGTGTGCACAACTTTCCGGTGGCCGTCCTGAGCGGCAAGATGCATGGCTGTCATTCCGTTGATGTCAGTCCTGTCCTTGACAGCGCCGGCTTTCAAGAGTTTGCGTACGACTTTGCGATGGCCGCTTTTGGCAGCCAAAATCGGTGTCTTGAGGGTATTGTTTGCTTTGGACATGTCAGGGCGGGCTTTCAGCAAGCAGCAAACTTGTCGGTGGCCATCCTGAGCAACATGATGCATGGGTGTCATTCTGTCAACAGCCTTGTCCTTGTCAGCGCTGGTGGGCGTCATTCCGAGCCTCTCGGCCTTGTGAATGTCAGCCCTGGCTTCCAGCAAGCTCAGGTCGCCTGATGCGGTGTCCATCCTGATCATTGGCCTTGTCAATATCCGCTTTGGCCTCCAGCAAGCGACGGACCACTTCTTTGCCGTCAGTCTGTGCAGCAAAATGCATGCAAGTTTGCCAGTAATATTTCATTCCATCTCTGAATTGTGTGTCTGGGTTCAGGGGCCATTGTAGGAGGCTCACAACTCTTGCGGCGTCGGCGGTGTGCGCTGCCTGCAACAATTCCTGTGTGCCATCCGTCAGATATGGCCGAATCACAACCACCAGCTCGTCATCCACCCAGTGGCTGTCGGGTCTTAACATCTCTTCTCTATAGACCAGAGCAAGCTGCCTGAAATTGCACCGCCAGTCTTTGGGCCAGACTGCGCCCCAGCTCATCGGTGCGATGGCCACCGGAAAGTTGTGCGCTACCTGCTGAAAGCCCGCGCTGACACGTGCAAGGCCAACAGTGCTGGCAAGACACCAATGGATTTGGCTGCCAACAAACTCTTGAAAGCCGGGGCTAGTGACAAAGGGGGAGCCCGTCCCCGTTTCGAAGTGACTTGGCCGACTGGCCCGTGTGGATCGACTGCCTTGCGTGCCCAAACTTCCGACGCCGCGTGAAAAGAGCAACGCCATGGCGCCGTGAAAACCGGACGGCATCCAAGACATAATTGGGACTACTGGTCGTTGACCCCTTTTCTGGCTACAATCATCCAAGACATAATTGGGACTACTGGTCGTTGACCCCTTTTCTGGCTACAATCATCCAAGACATAAGTGGGACTATTGGTCGTTGACCCCCTTTTTTCTGGCTGCAATCATGGCACATCATTGGGACTACTGGTTGTTGAACCCTATTTTCTTATGGCGGTTGTGTGAAGGGCACCTTGAACTCTGTTAGAATTTGAAGGCCCCATTGGCGCAGCAGCAGGACCAATCATTGTCCGATTCGTGAACGAGCCATTTGACACGTCCAACACAAGCTTGTCACAAGTGCACGCTTCTGAGCACTCCATCATCAGCAGGACACTACATATATGTTTCATGGATGGCAACGGGTTTTGCACGCCCTTTGACCTGTTGACACAACAAATCCTACAAGGCGTGCCTGTTGCGAATGCTAAGTGTTGACCATGCAGGTATGGCCCCCACATACATGCATGCATACATACATGCATGCATACATTCATACATGCATGCATGCATACATGAATACATACAGACATGCACACATGCATACATGCATACATACATGCATACTTGCATACATACATACATGCATACATGCATATATGCATGCGTTCATACATACATATATGCATGCATACATACATACAGGCATACATGCCTACATACATACATACATACATGCATACATGCATATATACATACATGCATACATGCATACATGCATACACGGACACATACATACATAGATACATGCTTACATGCATACATGGATGCATGCATGTATGCATGTATGCACGTATGTATGTATGTATGTATGTATGTATGTATGTATGTATGTATGTATGTATGTATGTATGTATGTATGTATGTATGTATGTATGTATGTATGTATGTATGCGTGAATGCATCTGTGCATGTATGCATGTACAAGTGTGTGTATGCATGTATGCGTGTATGTCTGTATGCATGTATGCCTGTATGCATGTATGTATGCATGTATGCATTTATGCATGTCTTGTATGTATGTATGCAGGTATGAGTATGTGTATGTATATATGCATGTACACATGTATATGTGTGTGTGTATGTATGTATGCATGTATGCATGTATACATGCATACATACGTACGTGCATACATACATGCATACATGCATACACACATACATACATATATACATACGTGCATACACTACATGCATGCATACATACATGTATGCATACATACATACATGCATGCACACATACATACACGCATACATGCATACATACATACATGCATACATGCATACATACATACATGCATACATGCATACATGCATACACGGATACACACATACATAGATACATGCATACATGCATACATACATGCATACATGCATACATACATACATACACACACACACATACATGCGTACATGCATACATACCTACACATATGCATACGTGCATACATACATACAGGCATACATGCTTACATACACATTGTGGCACCACCTTTTGGGCCAAGTTCAAGGTCCTCAGGGGTGATGTTTCTAGGTTGGGCACATGATGGGGTGTGTATGTGTATGCGTGAGTGTTTTTAGGGCTTTTCAATCAAAAAAGGGGTGCCTTGAAAGGTGAAAAGACCGGTGTCTTTACTTGGGTTTGAGACAACCGTGGCAAGGATTCCTGCACCGCTTGGCTGGTATTGAATCGAAACCAAACGAGTACCTGTTTTCCTTTAAGGGGATCCCGAATTGATTCCCAAAAGCAAGACCAAAATCCAGTTGTGTCCTGGCCGAGCCAGGTAGTGCTTCGCGATGGCCAGCTCTGAGCACTCGCCCCAGTGGGATTTCACATTGGCTCCCTTCTGGGTCCTTTGGATCGGTGTTTCATTTTGACCCTTCCATTTTTTTTCGGCAGCATGGGCGGACCCCCTGAAAGAGGGGTTCTACACTTCCAGGGGTCGACTGGCCATGATGATCATGAGTTTCAAGAGTGGGAGCCGCCTCATTTGAGCTGTTGGTGGACATACACCCGCCATGACGGTCACCAAAAGCTTCATACTCAACTCACTTCCCGATTTCCCGGACTGATACTCCTAAACACCATTTTATTAGTGGCACACTGTTTGCATTGTTGTGGTCAATCCACAGTGAGTCAAAGTGGTTGCATGTTCAGGAGCTTTTCACGGTTCTTTTCTGGCATCATTTGGGGTGTTTATTTTTTCTCAACCGCTTTTGGGGGGTTGAAGGGAAACCAAAGGAGAACCACCCATTTTGGTGTACACTCCATAAGGCAAACCCAGATCCGAAAGCAATTTGAGGATGTCACTTGAAGGGACCCAGTGACGTTTACCCTGAGAGGAGGCAGCACATACCCTAGACATGTACACATGGGATGTATGTTTTGACTGTTCTTTACGTGTTTGTTTTTAGTGTGTTGTGTTGGTTTGAGTGTTGGTCCTGCTATTTGTTTGTGGGTGGCCTCAAAAAGACAAAGTGTTTTGATCACATGCCAAGGTTTGGCTAGGTATGGTCCGAGGATTAATTGAGGGTTCGGTGAAGAAATTCGCATGAACCTATCGGAGTTTGTCTTTTGAGTGTGCCCTTTGTAGGGGTTTGAGCATTTTTTTGGGTACCCGATTTTTTTTGCCGCATACCGCATACTTCCTGAAGTCTCATCTCCCCTCTTGTCCCAAAGCGGATTCCTGGACCTCCAAAGCTCTCTGCAAGATGGGAAACCCCTCAAAATGGGCCTCTTGGTGTCAGTTTCCTCTAGGCTTTCATGCGAGTCACACAAACGGCCCCCTCTTTGGAGACCCTGGCGCGCTGGGCTGCCTTTTGAGGCCACAACGAGGTCTCCTTTCCTGTCAAAAGAAGCCCGTTGGGTGAAGGAGGCCGTCAGAGCTCAAGTAGTAGTTTTGCGAGAACCCCTAATGTTCCTGGAACCGCATGACGCACAACCCACGAACCACTTACAAGGAAAGAGGAAATCGCTGGTTACCTACTCGGCACCTGGGATCCACTGGGCTCAATTTGCTAGGTCCCCCAGCAATCGGTGCCCTTTCTCACCCGTTTCTCTTTTGGTTGGGAGGGTTCGGGACCCTGCTAAAATAGGTATACAGTTGAAACAAATCGGCTACCCGTATTCTAACCTCTCTGCTGGAGGACCTAGTTTAGATATATGACGCCATGAATTTTAATAGGGAACCACCTTAAAAGTGATTGGTGGACATGAATCCCCACCTAAATGATGTCCACCAAAGGGTCCCTTATTAAAATTCATAGCCATATGACGCCATGGTTCTCAGGGCCAGGGCTCCAAGGAACGGCTCAAACATGAAGAGAGGCAGCTCCCAGGTACAAGCACTCGATCCTCTGGCGCGGGGAGGCTTTGTTCGTCGGATCGTTCCCGTGGGACAATCTTTTGTTATTATTATCATTATTACAAATATGTTTTTTGCTGTGAATGGTTGGTTTTTTGACTGAACCAAAGTCCAACCGTTCAACTGTTGACGAATACTAAACTAGAGTCAAAAAACAGTTGAACTGTCTTCTTGCCTTTTTTAGGGATTCCAACTTTCTGTGACGCGCTTGGACTTTCCTTCGTCGGCTGCCTGAACTTGGTTCTACATGCGGCCATGAGTTCTTCGAAATGGGGTTTACTGGCTCTTTCGCCCTGTTTACAACCAAACAGAGGCGGCCAAGTAGGGCCGGGATGCTCCGTATTGATATCACAGCAAGGTCAAATTCTGACAACCATGGTGACCCTGTCTCTACCTCTGCAGCGCCAAGTTCTGGCACAGACTGGGATTTTAATTAGCCCTCACACAAACATTAAAGGCCCTTGACAACGGACCTCAATAAGCTCAGATTTCAGAGTACATGCCTTGGTATTCTATGGAGTTGCTTGGAGCGTCTTTTCCTGTTGCGTTACCGCAGTTCCCAGCTGGACCAGAGGAGACATGGTCAATGGCATATCCTCCGTGCAGTGGTCCGCAATCTCCGCATGGGCAGCCTCACATAAGGGGCTCCATGCTTCAATTAGGATTGAAGGCTACTTTAAGACCAAACTGAGTCATGATCTTAAGCATGTTTCTTGGAGTGTCCATGACCTTTGAAGAACCCATTTATTGAGGAATCATGGAGACTCCAGGTGGATGTCAGGGTTCTCCTGGAAGAAGATCACTCTTCGAAGGATTCCCCTTTTTCGTGCTTTCTTGGCAGGCGGTGTGATTTTCGTGTGAGGTACCGGACACCTCTTCTAGATGTTTGAGCCTATGTCATTGGGTTTCCAAGCAATATATTTGGCGTCGCGGCAAGTGCTGGTGCGGCGAGGGAACCTGTACACTTTTTTGTTGGTGGAGGGTAAGCCGTTATTGGGTACGTGTCAAATGGGAACCCCAAACATTGCGGTGTCTTTCTTGGTTCTCGCTTTCAAAGCTTAAAAAGGCTAGCCTCCAACACATGCCCTAGCATGCTGGAGCCTTTAGACTAGAGGCAGCTGTTTGGGTGACGCAAAGCGCCAGGACCCGACCAAGATCAAGTTCAAGCCAGCCTATGACGGCACTAAGAAGGTCGCGAGGTGCGCATGGATCAGATGCCGAACCAACAGGGAAAAAACAACTTGAAGATACATCGGGTAACCCAGAGGGGTAGTTTGGATGGGCGGTTTGAGGCTAAATGGAAACCCACCCCAAAAAAACAAAGCCACCGGGCTTGGAAGGATGAACGCACGTCAGAAACACTGAAGGCGCCGCATCCGAATGTGTCCAAAAGAAGTCTACTCAAAGCCCGGCGTTCAACCTGTTGAAGCCGCAGGTCTGAAGGGCGGCAACGGTTTGCTTCGGAACCGGAACCAAGTGGGTGAACCAAGAGCTGTAGAACAAGGCTCCTGAAAAGATACACACGTACCAATTGACCGTTTAAAGCCAGCAGTTCTTTTCACCAGACCACAAGGAAACCACGATTGATGCTCACTGTAGTGCTTCCTAGGTTTTCAAAGTACAGCTCCTCAGTGGTCTTATACATGTGTTGGGGGGTGTCCTCGGGCACTGTTTGCGTTGCAAGGCTGGGCGCACAAAGAAGGATTCAAACGTAAAACGTACACCGTGAACATTATCGGACCATCCACTGGAGGGGTCGGAATCTCCATTAAAAGTTGTTGATACCCTGAGATTAAATTCTGCAGAGGTGCCCAGAAAAGATGCAAACTGCATGATTGGTCTCCTTGTAGCCATGGCTACAACCTGCTGAGCAGTTTCAGCACCCAGGAAGGGCGCCCAGAAAAGCTGCAAACGGCTGCATCGGTGCTAAACCCAGTTTGGTAATTACCTTCCGCCGCGAGGTATCGAAAAGGCCAGATCCCGGAATGGGCGGACGAGACCAAGAAGCCCGAAAAGAAAGGCCGGCTCTTGTTGCACGACGCGTTTCTGGTCTTGGGCGAGGGAAGGGAGAGAAGATATATACATCCCAGCGCTCGCAGGCCAGCCATGGTATATAACCATGCTTCATTATCAGGATTTACATGATGATTTCCCCCTTGGGTACCTATTAGAATGGTAACTGGCAACACTGGGCTTCATGCATGCACAGGCAATTCCTGGCAACCCTTTGCATAGAAGGAGCATTCAGGGAAACCTATTGGAGCAGGGCTTCCTATACTTCCCTTTTTGGCGGTTTCAACCGGTTCCTTGCCTTTTGGGCTGATTTATTTGTTTTGAGTTTCCTTCTGTAGGGTGATGCTTCTAGGCTGCACAAATCGGGAGCTATACCAAATCATACAATAATATACACAGATGGGCTGAAAAAACAACCCCGCGCCTTTTCGTTATGTAAGGGGCCGTCCCTTAACTTGTTTCGCAGGCCAAAACCTTTGTAAACCGATACAGAGGAAAAAAAAACCGATACCCCCAGAAGCCATGAAGACACACATCAGGTCCTAGTTGTTGTCGCAAACCAAGATTGCGGAATCATAAATTTGCAGGGCCCAAACCGATACCCAAACCGATACCCAACCGACACCCAACTCATTGGCCGCCATGCCGAATCCAACCAGCTGCCCTGCAGCCTTCTCTGGAGCTGCCAACATGTACTTTGTGTACTACATGTGTACTGAAAAGTTGCGACTTTCGCTGTGGAGCTGCCAAAATGTACTTCGTATACTACACCATACTACACTTGCTTGCACTGAAAAGCTGCGACTTTCGAGCCGGAGCTGCCAAAGTGTACTGCGCATACTACTGAAAAGTTGCTACTTTCCAGCTGGAGCTGCCAAAATGTACTTTGTGTACTGCACTTGTACTGAAAAGTTGCGACTTTCCAGCTGGAGCTGGGAGCTCTACACTTGCACGGAAAAGTCGCGACTTTCGAGCCAGAGCTGCCAAAACACTGCAAACCGATGCAGAGGAACAAAAACCGATACTGACCGATACTGAGGCATAAGGATACAAGGGTTGTCCACGAGGTTTTTTTTTCAGCCCAGATGTACAGGAAGCTGCTGGCGAGCATCTACAGAAAAGTAACATCCGGGTAACTTTCCCCTACTCCAAGTACCCACCTTTCTAAGGGTATCATGTTCACCAGGTGAACGTGATACCCTTAAAAAGGCGCCCGTGACAAGAGGAGCAGGATTTGAACCAGGTAAACCAACGCAAGCCCTGCAAAGCGGGTATTTCGAGTTAGCCCGGGGAGGCAGCTCCGAGCTCGCCCCTAGCCTCAGGCCGCGAGAAGAGGGAGGAGGAGGCGGACCTGAAACAGGCCGAGGGCTGGGGTCGGTGGGGCTCAGTTTCCCGTTGCCACACTTCAAGACCAATGGGATCCCGTTTTGGGGTAGGTGAATTCACCACCCATTTTAGAACCTATTTTAGTGGGGATTGGGATGTTCACTGGGGGTACGATTTGGATTTTGAGCTAACTCTCTCTCTCTGACTAACATGGAAGTTCCTTGGCCGATCCTGTAAATGGAACCAAACATTCCAAAGGGTGCTGGGGGTTTCCATGTTAGCCTGGGGGAGGATATGGAACTTGTTGGCTTTCTTTTTTGTTTGTTTGTTTGTTTGGGGGGGGGGTTCTGAATTGTGTCATGAAATGAGCAAGATGCTAACTGTCTGCAGGGGTCTAAGTCTAACAGAGGTGGTTTCCTTTTCACTCCCAAAAAAGACACGCCCAAATGGGAGATTTGCTTTTTTTTTCAGCATGTATCGACCCTCGACCAACCATAAAAAATGGGACCCTCGATTCTTACAATGTTGGCTTGAAGATCGTAGCTGGAATCCCCATGGATCACAATTCTGCAGTCGCATGTAACCAAACATTGGGAACCCCTCTGCCTATTCCCCGGCGTACTCCAGATCCCCTTGACAAAAACGGATGCTTTCTACAACACAAAACGAGGTGTTTCCAAATATACCAACTGAACAAAAAAAACTGGTTCTTTCAGATGTCCGAAGTTTGAGGCAACGGCAAGGCTTGGGTGCCAGGCCATTTTAGCCCTGACTGGTTGAACTCAGGCGGCCAAGCGGCGGCGACAGGCCGCTGCGGCCGCGGTGCTCGAGGCGGGAGGAAGGGATCAAGAGTCAGTTACCACTATTGTACTGTGGATGGACGAACTCCATTTCGCACCGCCTAAGATTTCCTGGAATGATGATTCCCCTGTAAATGCCGACAAACAATGGTTTCCTGTGATGTCCAGGTGGTGCAGGATTTCTTCCATAGTAGGGAACCGGATAAAGAAATAGTAAAGAGACAGGAAGGGAATGAAATGGTGGGTGAAAAGATGTCCACCATTTCCTCCTTCCCTTCCCCCTCTCTTCATCCCTTTCATCTCCTTCCCTCGATTCAAGGATGAGAGAGGGAATGGAGGTGATAGAATGAGATGGTATTTTCTAGATTCTTTTTATTACTGCAATCTTATTAGTCTCTTTCCATAATAATAAATCTCTTGAATCTAAACATATTTTAATTGGCTAGGATATGTGTACTTCTAGGTTTTGCATGGTGGTTTCCTCTGGTTACCTACGAGAGGTGGTACCCGGAAGCGCCGGGCCTCACACCCAACACCATTTTTTTCAGAGTATGACCGGGTATGTCGGCCCCTTTGACCGTGATTTTCCATGGGGTCGACCAGGGCTTTTCAAAATGTACACTGAGGAAGCGGCAGTTTGAGGGATTACAGGGTGATCTTTCCCCTCTTGAAAAAGAAGGGATGCCAAACCCATTGGTTTGAAACTGGTTCGTTTCGGCAGCTGAAGAGAAGGATGGGTAAAGGGAATGCTTGGAAGCAACCCTTTGTACATTTGCCTTTTCTTTTGGAAAAGAAAGCTCATTGGGTGAGATGTTCTTCTTTGTAAGTTAGGTTTGTCTCCAGATGGGACCTGCAAAATAGGGTTTCTTGGCTTTGCATTTGGCTTCCTGTTTTGCACCAGCCCCAAAAAGGGGGATTCTCAACAAATTTGCCCAAGTGAAATGACCTGGCACGACCTCGTTGGTTCTCCCTTTTTCCATTCAAGGTCAACGGTGACGGCTGTTTCTCACCTTTGGCAGGTCCTCTTTGCCAGTGACAGGTGAACCAGGAAAAATCGAGGGGTGATCCCCGTTTCTCATGGTTTTGGGGTGTCTTAAAGCAGAAGCCCCTGACATACTGGTTTGCTTTGGGCTACCCTTGAAACTACACCCAAAGAAGAGTACTCTTGAAGACAGGCTCAAATTGCTGGGGCAATCAACCATTCCGACAAAATATCCATAGGACGCCGAAGGCATCTAGATTCGCTGAAGCATTGGACCAAACAATTTCTCATAGATGGTCCGACGTCAGTGAAGCACCCACTGCGCAAGTTCTTGGACAATACACTTTTTGCAACAGGTTTAGACCTGTTGGTCAATCCTACCAAGTGAGAGAAACACAACTTGTCCCTCCAGCCCAGGCTCCCTTGCGGCTTGCGCCTCGCACAGAAATGTGGCGAATCCACCTGCCCCGTAGAAATCCTTGATCCGCATGCCCCCGCCTTGGGGCCCAATTCAGGAGTCTGCGAGGCAAGGGCAATCAATCCCAACTCCAAGTACCCGCCTTTTTTTTGGTTGTCACATGTGGTTGACAACCGGCTTTTCCATGGCAAATCAACAATCTGTTTCAGTCGCTGGTTGACAACATAGCCCCATAGCCTGGAAACACAGGCATTGAGGACAAGAGGCTAGGTCCCCCAGTAGAGCCTTTCTCTCCCCTTTTTTTGGGGGAGGGTTCCCCTACTAAAATAGACTACAGGGAAAAGTTGGTGCCAACTTATTCTATCCTCTAAAACCGGAGGACCTAGGAGGGAACCCAACCAAAAACGCTTTCCCTTGGGGGCTTCCAGCGCAGTCACCAGGCAGAAGGCGAACGAGTTCGTGCGCGGTGCCCCAGACCCCAGACGTGGAGCTCGAGATGCTCGAGACTAAAACGGCCGCGGGTGGACATGAGCTCATATGTTTTGGTATATGTTTTTATATATGTATAGATGTGTGTGTGTGTTTGCGTGTGCGTGTGCGTGTGCGTGTGCGTGTGTGTGTGTGCGTGTGCGCATTTGCGTGTGTGCGTGTGCGTGTGTGCGTGTGCGTGTGCGTGTGCGTGTGCGTGTGCGCGTTTGCGTGTGCGTGTGCGTGTGCGTGTGCGTGTGCGTGTGCGTGTGCGTGTGCGCGTTTGCGTGTGTGCGTTTGCGTTTGCGTGTGTGCGTGTGCGTGTGCGTGTGCGTGTGCGTGTGCGTGTGCGTGTGCGTGTCCGTGTCCGTGTGCGTGTGCGTTTGCGTGTGCGTGTGCGTGTCCGTGTGCGTGTGCGTGTTTGCGTGTGTGCGTGTGCGTGTGCGTGTGCGTGTGCGTGTGCGTGTGCGTGTGCGTGTCCGCGTGTGCGTGTGCGTGTGCGTGTGCGTGTGCGTGTGCGTGTGCGTGTGCGTGTGTGTGTGTGTGTGTGTGTGTGTGTGTGTGTGTGTGTGTGTGTGTGTGTGTGTGTGTGTGTGTGTGTGTGTGTGTGTGTGTGTCTGTGTGTGTAAGTGTATATATATATACATACATACATATATATATATGTATATATATATATACACGGATGTGTGTGTGTGTGTGAAAGTTTGTTTTGAGGGTGCCCTTTAAAGCTTGGCTCGGGAAACCACGAGGGACAACGAAACCATTTTCTGGTGGTCCCCTACTTTAACACATATCCATACTTTTACGCTTTCATTTGCTGTCTTCGCTTGTGTCTAGATGCCTCACTAGAGCCAACAAGAGAACTCACGAAGCCAACCTGCGAATTGAACCAGTAGGTCTCCCGGAAGATGGAGGTTCCTTCATGTTTCGTGTGTCTTTTGGATGGATAACCCAAGGCTGCCCGGTGTTCGCCCGGGGATTCCGGTTGCTATGTAAGCAACCAGTCGCTCTGTCAGGTTTCAAGGTGGCCGACCCCTTGGTTACCTACTCTACACAGGAAAATCTAGGGGTAACGGATCCTTCTTTCTAGAAAACCACCAAACACTCTGGAGAAGTGGCTGGTGTTTTGAAAAGAACGATGGCTGAAAGAATGGAGAATCAGCCCCTAAATTAAAAATCATTATTGCCTGGGCCCTGGTTTTGGTGGCGGAGACGCCGTTCTACCGAAGCACGAAAGGCGGGACCATCGAAAAGGGTTAGTCCCTTGAACCAGCCCAAAACGCTCAAAGGTCAACCGGCGGCCCCTGGAAAACCGGCAACAAAGAGAGAGGCACGAACCAGCCTAGATTTACCCGCCAAAAAAAGAAGGAAAAAACGAAGAACAAGCAAAACAATGGTCTTTCAAGAAATCCCCTACACAAAAAACCACGGTGTGTTTGGACGAGGAGGCACGAGAAACACCGTAACCCCCCCCCACCTTCGCGGAACCCCAAAGGCCTCCGATGGCGCCTCCAGCCGCCTGGCGCGGCTACAGCGCTCCGCTGAGAAGGCGAGCCTCAGGATGCCTTGACTCGGGGTCCCAGCCGGCCGGTTCCTTAGCTTTCTTGGGCTTTGTAGGTTTGTTTTCGTTGTTTTTTGGGGCTGTTTCGGGCCGTCTTGGGCGTTGTTGGCTTTCTTGTTTGGCTGTTTTGTTTTTTCTTTTGTTGGCCTTTTTAGCTTTTTTGGCTTTTTAGGATTTAGCGATTTAGTGGGGGGGGGTTCCATTTAAGTCGCCAAAAGTTAAGCTCTAGGCTTCCCCATTAGCACAATGGTTGACTCAATTTAGTTGTTTTGGGTAAATGGTACCCAGTGATTCCATTTCGCTCTTACAAGCCAAAAGGAACATGGCTGGTTACTTGCTATGCTGGTAGCTGGGATCCACTCTGCGAAGCAAGAACAGATTCGGGTTGGGATCTTCTCACGAGGGGTGCCTCCTAGTTGGAGGCGCCCCGCTTCGACCTGGAAAGTCCTCGAAGGGTGTGGCGTCTGTGGGACCTTCTTCGGCATCATGTTGCAGTTTGAGCTTTACTGATCATGGACCATAATCTAAGCATGTCGCTTTTGGTTGCAGGCAAAAGTTCAGTAGTCAAAAGTGAAGCCAAAAGGAGGCTGTGAACAAGAAACCATGGATATGTTCAAACATTTGATCGGCTCACACTGGCCGGCCAAGCATTCGTGACCAGGTCTGTGGGTCAGTTAGAATGGCCCCAACCACGTGCCGTTGTTTTTCTCGTTTTCTCCTGGATACCTTGACTCCTGAGTTTGGACTTGGAGCTTAGAGGCTGGAGGATAGAGTTAGAGGGGCTAGCCAGAAAAATATACCCACCATAGTGTGAGCTCCACTGAAAGGCGAACCAAGTGCGCTATGGCGTAGGTTTCCAACACTTAGCTAACTTGGCCGACGAAGAACCTCCTTGGACCCCAGCGACCAGAAGGCGGACATGTCCAAGCCGGTGGAAGCTCTAGGCAAGCTTAGACCCGTTTCAAGCCACCAGTAAAGGGGGGTTAAGATAATTAGTAATGATTGTGGTTTACCTGTAGGCATTGTCATCGTTTATATTGGGTCAGCCATTCTTTTATTTGGGCTTGAACCCGGTAGAGTTTTGGCGGGGCTGGGGTTGCTTCGAAAGGAAGCCTATCCCCGTGGATGGCTCTCTCTGGGTCAACTTTTGTTGAGCCTGTGAGCTGAGTCAGAAGATAGCCATGACACGTGCCACACTCAATATCCTGGTGGATTACGGGTAAGCAAAAGTCCCAGCCGAAAACAGGTGCGGATATCCGCCCCTTTGTTTGTGTTGTTAGGGTTTCATTTGTCTTATATGCCGTGCAAGCAAGAAGTAAGAAGAGAGGTATGTGGGTCAGTTTTATTTTGTTCTTCGTGGAGTTTGTAGGGCGCCTGTTCGCATGGCACTCGTCAATGAGATGTGTTAGACATCTCTCCACAGGCTTGGTAGAGACGATCCCAACCCAAACATTCTTAGGTGCGGACTCTCCCGTCCCTGGTATTGTTATTTGAATGTTTGTTTTGAGTCTAGCAAATAACTAATAACCTCACTTGAGCAGCGCCCACACTCCCCATAGGCCATTTTAGTGGGTTCTACTCCAGTGTTGTAGATTCATATGGTGTATATAAACGTCCATACAAACCTTCATAACCATCTTGGTAGAACCAAAGGAGGTGTTGCAAGCGGCTCCCGCCGATCCCTGAGGGAAACACATAGCACCACCTCGTTCCGTTGCGCGCAGGCGGAAACTGGCACAGAGAGGCCGCGGGGATGCGAGGTTTTGCACTATCGGGTCCGCTCATAGAAACCAGCTACCTGATCTAGCTGGACCCTCGAACCACCCAAAAGAAGGGGAGATTATTGCATCATGTTGGGAACATATCCCAATTTCAGGGCTTGTTTGCGGGGCAGCGGAACTTCTTGCCCACTGCGAGCTCCGAACAAAGAGGTCGCCGGTGGCTCCAGAGGGCCCAGCGCAGTAAGGAGATCCCCATGGCGGACGCGATCAGCCGCACGATGGGCGAGGAGGTGCCGAGAACCGATCCGCAAGATGGGCGAGTTCCCAGAACTTCGCGAGGAAGCAGCCCAATCTTCCCTTCTTGGTCTGGACGTGGAATACGCGAGACCACTGGAAAACACAATGGTACGCGGCACCACCAAGATCTGTTTTGGTGGTGCGGGGTGGCAAAAAACGATCTGTGAGATTCTTGCTCTTTGAGCAGAAAGCTGATGACAAGACGCGGTCGCAGAAGCGGCATTGGTATAGGCATGGCTTCGTTTTGAGGGTGACACTTGGTGGGGCGCCTTGTTCTCTTCGATCCAAAAAACGCCTGCTCCCGCGGCGAGGAACGTGACGGATCGAGCGAAACGCCAATCAGCTCGTCAGCGGGAGAAACGAGTCCTGTCAAGGAGTGGCAGAAGTTTCTTGTCCACACGAGGGCAGGAGCTGTACGTGTCCTGACCCTCGGGCTACAAGTATCCTAAAGTTGAAAGCATGCTAGCCTGAATGTTTCTGTTGCTCGGATGAACTGTCCAAGCTTATATCCCGAACTAATTCAAGCTTCCTGTTTTCAAGGTTTTCCCGACAGATTGTAGAAGTAGAAGTATCGCACTTTAGTCTGTGGGCTTTTTATTTTCGTCTATGTTATCTTAATCATTGGCTTCTTTTTTGAGGTTTACCTTCAGGGGTATGGTGGGCAAACCTCGGACATCCACGTCTGACCAATGCAGACTGCCCTCAAAGCTGGGCCCACCAAACTTCGTCGGGACGCAAGGGGGCCCAAGCCTCCACTGGAACCGGCTGTTGCAGGTCCAGGTGTTCCAGGGGTAGCTTCCATGTCCATTCTTTCCAGGGATCCTTCTTTCTGGTGGTGTCCCCACAAACTTCCTGGGGAAATGGCGATCGGTTTTTGGAAAGGACGATGGCTGAAAATAATGGGGGATCCACCGCTAGAGGTGTGTGTTTTCTGTTTCCAGCTGGCCAGGCTGCTGCGACATCGCCGCGTCGAGGCCGCCGTGATCCTCGAGGCGGACAAAGATGAGAAGGAGGAGGCGGAGGCGGGGTTCGGCATGTTGGGTGGCAGGGGCGTCCTGTACCTTCAGTTCCTGTTCCCCCAGTTCTTCCAGTTTCCATCATAGGCAAGGGGAAACCATCATGTATAGAGCAGAGGTCCTGTGCTTTCTGTTACCCAGTTCTTCCAGTTCCCGTCAGGGTTGCCTAGTTCTGGTGGGAACCCGAAGCACCGGGGTAGACTTAAACCGAGCGGCAGGGTTCTGATTTTATTTCTAGAGTGAAGCCAATTTTGTTTATTATTATTATTGTTTCGATGGGTTCAAGTGCAGCAACAAGTTTGGGGTTGTCGCCGTTGGGCTGTTTATCTCCATTTTCATGGGGTGCTTTGGACGGTCGTGCCATATCTGCTTGTCACAAGTCTAAGAATATCTTTGGGAGTGCCAAACTCTTGGTTCTCAAAAAATGGCCGCTTCCTTTTTCTGTATCACAGGTTTTTTTTCCCACGCCCATGCCTGTTCGTAAATGCATTCGACAAATGACGGGTGAGAGGTGGCCGCGTCCGCAACGCAGCCTTTCCCATATCGTTGGCCCTTTTCTCTTGTCTGGCCCTGCCGCCCCATTTTCTACAAAATGATGCTGGTGTGTGTGTGTGTGTGTGTGTGTGGGTGCGTGCGTGCGTGCGTGCGTGCGTGCGTGCGTGCGTGCGTGCGTGCGTGCGTGCGTGCGTGCGTGCGTGCGTGCGTGCGTGCGTGCGTGCGTGCGTGCGTGTGTGTGTGTGTGTGTGCTGCTTTGGAGACTTGGCTTAGCTCTGCGACCAGCACAAGGAGTTGGGAACAAAGATCCAATTTCCCATCCCAGACGCTCATGGACCCTCTACAGGTCTCCTCTAAAGCTTTATTAAAGTTTATGGTGCACCAAATATGAAGCAATCAGTCGCAGTGTAACCCGCCCCCCCAGCCACGCGGCAGTGTAAGCAGAGCAAAGGTTGTGTTCAAAAACATGGCCCCACACTCTCCACCACCTCATTCTCTTGTGGAAGCCCTCGATGAGGGGTGCACAGCTTTCTCGTTAGGTTCAATTCCACTTTGCAGCCGAGAAACTCTGCAGAGAAAGGGGCATCCAGCTGTATCGCGAGCTCTTCGATTCGGAGGTTTTCACACGATTCCATGACAAAGGTCCTTTGATTCGTGAAATGCAGGCTGGTGAATCATTGCAAATTTGGATCAATTTCGGAGTTTGGTGTTTTACGTAGTCAGGTTCACATCATGTGGGAAAAGGCGGATGTTCTTTTATATACCTATTATAAGGTGGGTGTTTTCCTCAAAAGTGAAAGATCTCCTCTAGATATAGAATGGCACACTTCCCCAATCAACATCCTCCAGGGTAGCAATCACGGGTTCCTATCAGCCCATTTGAAACAACTGGTGTTCAAAGGTAGGGCTCCCTCTCCTTTTGTGACGAGCACAAAAACAATGACTCTGAAGCTCAACCGAAACTTAGGAATGCCAACCATAGTCGGAACCAATAGGTCTGTCTCATTTTGATGTGACAGGGTGGTGTTCCTTTGTTTCCCTTGCATGCACCAAGCAAAGACAACCGATGGAAGCCGATGGAAGCCCGTTGGCACTTTTCTTGGGGTTGTTTGTTCTGTCCATCCAGGTTCTTCTTTCGCCAAAAGGCGAAACAAAAGAAAAAAAAACGACCCCGCGAGGCGAAGAAGGAGGTCTTGAAGGAGGAATTGGACGTAGACCTCAAGCCCACCGTGGCTGAGGTGAGCTGGAGACAGGAAAGTGAGGTCGCATACCCAAAAAGTCAGGGATCATGAACCCAATTGTTCAGAAATGTCTGAAACTGGTAATCTTTTCAGGGATGAAATGCGATGGAGGGTATGGTGGATTCGATCGCTACGGACTTTAAGATGGTTACGCCCCGAACCACGGGTGCCGGGAAATTTGAGAAAGATCACCCGCGGACCGAAGCTACCCGACGTTTGGGTATGTGTCGTAAAACCGAAGAAATTGGCGTGTTCCTTTTGGTTCCCCCGTAGGCCAACCTGAAAAGGGCACCCTCAAAGTCATTCATATATATATATATACCCTTGATATTTGATATGGTTGCTCGTAATTTTCCTTTGGAACCGTACCGCAGGCGGAACTGCTCATTCAAGTCAAGTTAAGTCGGTTCGGTTCCTGCCTGAATTCGTGGGGGCTTGTAAGATAAGGCTCAAAACGGGTGTGTCTTAGAATAGGGCGACCCTGGGAAGCGTGTTCGGCACCAAGAACCAACTCGGATTAAGGTTAAGTTACCATGTTTCTGCTCCTAAAATAATTGCGACGCTTCTATTTTTAAAACGGGGCGGTAACAATCATGCGTTTCTTCCCTGCTTGAGTTGCACTTTTGTTTAGGATTTGGGTTGCAAGAAACTGCCCAAACATAGGTGGACCCTTCCCACCCCCCGGAATTTGCAATGCCTCCCTTGCTCCCTGCTTCCTTTTGGAGTGAATACCGTAGTACTTCAAGGGACAAAAGGAAACACAACCTGCTTTTTGCCCGTGCAGGGTCGTTTTTCTGGGATGCGAGTGTGTGTGTGTGTGTGTGTGTGTGTGTGTGTGTGTGTGTGTGTGTGCGTGCAGGGGGATGTCTGGATCTCATGGAGAAATCTTTTTTTGGGACAACTCATGGGGCTAAAATCAACCGATTTGGGAGTTGACCTTTTAACTGCACGGTGCGATTTTTATTTTTCATGATCAGTTGGAGGGTCCAGGCGCCTGCTGGGGGTCGTTTTTGAGGTGAACGTAGACCAGATGGGCTCGGATGACGAGGATCTCGACATCCGGCAAGTGCGCCGGGTACTGAGGCTGAGGGACCGCCCTGGGTCTCATCTCAAAGCCCAAGTTTGGAATCCAGAAACCTGCGGAGGGAAGCGATGAAGGCTTTCTAGCTAGAAGAAAAATGTGTGTTTTGAACCTTGCAACAGGACCTGATGCGAACCTGGCTTCGAACTGCACTTCGCAGCCATGCTTCCTGGGATCCTTCTTTTCAAGAATTGGACTTCCAAAACCCAGGGAAATCAAGTGGTCGGAAGGATGGTTGAACAGTTATCATTGAGGTGTATTGCAGCAGCATGGGTCACGAAAAAACATGAGAACAACAAAGCTCTTGGGGTTCGCCGAGCCGCCCTCGGCTGTAAACTGTCGTTCAGAGAATGGCAAAGGCCCTAGGTATGGTGATTGTATTTCCAGAGCCTCTTGTTGAAACCTAACCTTTATGTTGAGTGATTCGTCAGAGGCCGAGCCTCTGAAAGGATCCTGAAAAGGGCCAACGGGCCCACGACCTCAATAGGAAGGTTTAGGGTTTGGGTTGGGGTTTCGATGGGGTGATGTTTTTGACGACATGTAGCCCAGTGCTTTCCAGTCACTACAATGTAAGTAGAGTTTTAACAGGCAACCACCCCAAAAGTGGTTGGTGGACAGGAATCTCGAATTTTGATGTGCACCCCATCTCGGGCGCCTAATTCAAAAAGCATGCCCACACGGGTACGTCTCAAAATAGGGGTACCCCCTAAACTGGTACCGCCATTAAAAGCCTTGCAACCTAAGTAGACTATGCATTGTCCTGAAATTCCTTAAGGTCCCAGTATTGCAAAGTCTCAGTATTCCCTTTGGTCTCAGTATTCCTTAAGGTCTCAGTATTCCCTTTGAATTCCCGAAACAAAAACCACCTCCATCTGCAGTGGCACTGGGAAGAACCCCAGCTTCACGCCCGTGCGGCCACGTGCGGCCCAGGCCGGGAGAGGATCCGGGAGCAAGCCCTGATGAAGCGGAAGATCGAGGAGGACGTGCTGAAGGTGGGAGGGGGGGTTGTTCTTGTGCGAAGGGCGTGGATTCCCCGTTGTTGTATGTTTAATGTTTTTTTTGAACATATCAGTTGTTAGTTGATTGCTTGTTGGTTGCTTACTTGCTGTGTTTTGTTATATTCGTCTTCACTGTTCTTTGCATTTGTTAATTGCGTATTGTCAGTCGGGGTCTTCAATAGACACAGCTTGTTGCTACATACCGCCAAGGTTTGGGAAGTTGGTTGTTGTGTTGCTTATTTGTTGTTGTGTAGGTGTTTTGCGTTCAAAATGAAACCTAATCAAACAACATGCATTCAGCGCGCCTCTTCGATATTTTATTTCCACAGATGACAGCTTTGGGATTTTTACCCACATATGCTCCGGAGTGGTTTGGAGCGGCTCTGGGCTAGGATTCCGGAAACGTTTCCGCGTTTTGCTGTTGGGTATAATCACCACCTTGGAGTATATGTCCGCAGTGACAGCTTCCTGGACGCCCAACCTGCCCCTTAGAATGCGAGATCACCCCGAATTTGTTGTAACTTCCGGGTTTGATTTGACAGTCCAGGTGTGGGACTCAGCGAAGGGAGCCCAAAGCGCCTTTGTGCCAACGTCACATAGGCAGAGATCGAAGAGGAGCAAGAGGCGGGCTTCGGCTTCGCTTGGAACGCCTTTTTGCGCCGCAAAAAAACGCAGTTTGGGGTGGATTTCCTGTTGTGTTTCTCAAATTTACGGACCTTGCAGGGTTTTTATGTCCTTTCGGCTTCCCTCTAAACCATACCAAAAGGGGTCCCAAATTTTGAGAGACACTTTTTTCAGGGCTTGCAATCCTTTTGGTTTGAGGGGCTTTAAACGAAAGCAAAAGGAATCCACATGAAACCACCGGTTCTGTAGGTTCTATTTTGCTTTGAAAGTGGCAGGGTTTTGCAGAGCCGTGCACACATGCGAATAAACCTCTATGCTTTGGGAGGACACGTTGGGTTGCGCAAAACGGCATTTTTCGCATAGCGGCTCGCAGCAGCCCGGCCTTCCAACGAAAGCTTCAGGGCAAGTCCTGGGACCTTTTGCCTGGATCTTCGTCGCCATGGTAAGTTGTTCGCCACCTGTGTGAGAAACCCACCAGCAGGGTTCTCTCCACATGGGGGGCGTGGAAAAGGCTGTGGGTCAAAACCAATAATACCATTTTGGGATAGGTGCACCACCCATTCTAGTCTATTTTAGTGGGGATTGGGATGTTCACTGGGGCTAACCGGGCTTTTGACCCATGGGCGAATGGGTTCTGGCCTAGGTCACCAACAGCTTACGACCCTGGCACCAGAACGCCGCCCGCCGCCTGAGGAAATCCCGGAGGAGAGCGAATATGACTCCGAGTCCGAGGACGATGCGAGGCGCAAGTTCGATCAGAAGCTTTCTGTGCCGAGTGCTGAAGGTCCGCTTTTTGTCCGCTGGTTCGGAAAATCCCCAGTGTGTTCAACCCCCCCATGAAAAGAATTGTAAGGGCCAGGCCCGATTTTGCGGAAAGCCGCAAGTAAATAATCCGTTGCTGGTTGGGATATGTTGTACTCCTTCCGGGAGTCTTTGGGAATGAGCCTAAGGATGTTTTTCTATAGAGAACCACCAGTTGGCTGGTTCAGTTCGAGGTCAGGCGCCGGCGATTCCAGATACGGGTATCTCGATCCCGTTCCTGCAATTGATTTGTGGTTGTCGGAAACAACACACAACTGCTTTGATATTGCATCCCTATTTTGTGCATCTCACTCCCTGGTTCTTGGAGAGCTACTTTTTCGGAAACGCTCAGAAACGACTGTTTGCCAGCAGGAAACCCTGTTTTTGTCAATGCTCACCACGAGAAAACCAGCCAATCAGCATTCAACTCCATCTTACCATTGAACTCCATTCAACTCCAACCAATTCGGGTGCCTGGACCTTCGGCCACTTTCAACGGACCGGCTCCAGAAATTGGCTGCTGGACGCAAGGCCTCATCGAACTGAGGCTTTGGTACCCGTGCTAAAAGGGGAAAAGCAGCGGGGAACTGAAAAGCTATTCCCTACGCAGGTTTCTGAACCCAGGGGAATGAATTCAGCGCACCCCCCACTGACATAGAAGTGAGAATCAAAAGGACAGTATCTCCAAAAAGAGGGCTCGCTGTGCTTCCTGCTGGATTGCACAGTCCATGACACACCCTAGGCTTTGGCTGCCAAGAGCCCTTCAAGGGAAATCGTGGGCCCAAATCCTTAGGCACCAGGCGAAAGTTTTTGGTAGCCCCCTGTCGGGATTGAAAGCATCGTGCCCTTTCGTGAAGGGGCCTTGACGACCATGAAACAAATTTCGACCATGAAAAAAAATACCCACCCCCAACTCCAAATACATGTTTTTCTTCCAGGGTGTATTTGGAATTGCCTGGTTGACGGAAAATGGTCGACATACCCCTATATTTTTCAGGGTGGTTGGAGTGGGATCCCAGCGGTTTCACTGGTTACGTTCTCTCGATTTCGGGAGGCGCGGCCCGCTCATGAAGCCCGTCTTTGTGTCCAAGGCCGCTCGCGGCCGTACCCGTAGACTTGGACCTTACCCTGAAGCATTTTTTTTTTGTTGAATATATATATATATATTTTTTCCGGTGTGCGGGAAGTTTGAGGGTCCAGAAAGCTTTTTCAGGGTGCGGGATGTATATGACATATCCTGAAAGCTTGACTTTCAGCAAGGGACGCGAGGAACCACCGAGTTGAGAACGGTCGCTGGTTCGCAGAGTTCAAGAAAGGCAACTGTCGACATCGATTTCAACAAGGGCCATTTTAACAGGTTCAGTGGCCTATCTAGTCTTGTGAGGGTTACAGGAACGGCTACATGAATCTTTGTAACCATCTTAGTAGAACCAACAAACGGTCCCTGGGTTTTCGGCGCTGCTCACCATACGTAGTACCCTTTTAAATTCCTGCAGGAGTGTATCCACAACCCCGTTTGCTAGAGTCTGGGGATGCCAACTCACCTCAGTTCCCTGCCAAATCCTGCTAGACAGATATACTGTGGTGAAACGTCCATCCAACCTCCTGCATGAGCCATCGAACACCTCGGTGCATCTGGGTCCCATTCAAGTGAGAGGGAAAGCACCAAGTTTGAGAACACTTTCAAGGACCTGGTGAGATCTGTGGCCATTCTGACCAGTTTCGGTTGAAGCACCCAAGTCCCACTGGGATTCAAGCACAAGGCCCAGCCGCACCCACCCAGCCCATCCGTTCAGAAGCCCTCCCCAGGTGAACCGCGAGACAGTCCGGGAGAAGGCGCGAGACGAGTCTAAGACCCTCACGCCCGCAAACGTGGGACATTGCCCCCCAAACCGATGGACGAATGTCCATTTTCAGAGGGTAGTTTGAGAGTTGAGGTTGTTGGAGGCTATTGCCCCCAACCCCCCAAACCTTGGGTGAATTTCCCTGTGTTTTGAGGGTAGTTTGCTTGGACCCCCAAACCGGTGGACGGATGTCCATTTTTGTGAGGGTGGTTTGAGAGTGGAGGTTGTTGGAGGCTCCAGGTGGAATCTGGTGATTCCCCTGGCAAGTTTGCTTTCTGGGCCTTGGGATCTTGGGCCAGGAGCTTCTCGAGAAGGAAGAAGAGGACGCCCGCCGGAAGAAGGAGGTTCGAGCGCTGGAGCGGAAGGCCTGCGGCCCCGGGAAGGGCGGAGTGGCGGTAAAAACTTGCTGACGGATGAAAAAGAAAACAACTCCCCCCGTCTTTACTCCCATGGACGCGTTTCAGACTTGTATATGTTCCCTGGTTTTAAAGGAAACCTATCACTTCTGGACATATGGCTGTGGGTCAAAACTAGGTACCCAAAATGGCCCCTTGGTAAATGGAAACAAGGACTAAAACCTGTGGTCCGATTCCTGGTAGTTTAATGTTGACCCATATGGGTTCATTTGCTCCAGACGTAAGGCCGATGGAGGTTGTTGGGTTTACTTACTCTTCGACTAACAGCTGCCAATGTACGCAGTCCCAGCGGATCCCAGGGGCGCCCAACTAGTAACCAGCATGTTCCTCTTGGTTTTGAAAGGGTGGTTCCTTTGGTTGCCTACACAGGGAAGTGGAATCGCGTCCGACTGCAAGTCCAATACTGCTTTCACAACCTCACAAGGTTTGGCCGAAAAGCAAGAATGGATTTCTCGCACCCGCCTGGAATAGCTGAGCTTTCAATTGCCACAGCTATTGCCAACACCTCTGCCAATGGCAGCTTCCTTCATAGTTTTCAGGGTTGCTTTTGACAACACCGAAAGATCGGGTAGCCGGAAACAGAATTATTCAAGGCCAGACCCCTCTAAGAATACAAAACCTGGTTGAAGACAGGGAGAAGACCGGATTCCAACAATGAGGGGGCTGCCCAGCGGGACACCCTCCAAAATCCGTTGTTTGGACCTTGTCGACCTTGGGGGGAGGGGGGGGTGGTTGCTAAAGGCGGAGGGTGGATGAAACCCTGGTGGATGGATTGTTGGATTGGGTTCTGGGAAGTTGGGTTTAGGGTTTAGGGTTTAGGGTTTAGGGTTTAGGGTTTGAATTGGATCGTGTTGGATTGGGTTGAGTTGAATTGAAGGACACCATGAGGTGTCTACCCCTAAGTGTGTCTTGGTTCCTTGCGAGGATGTAGCGGACCACTGTTTGTTTGCGTGTGTTTTAGCTTTCTAGTTGTTTGGTTCTGTTCATTGTTGGTGAGGCTGCAAAAAAGCCGACAGTTGTTTGATTCCATGCAAAGGTGTGGGCACGTAGCAAGTGCTCCCACAAAGAAAAGAAGACCTACTCTGTTTCCTCCACGCTTCCTAAGCGACTTGCAGGGGCTCAGACCAAGTCAAGGATCGCAGCCCAGTTGCCTCCCGGCACGGGACATGGGGCTTCTGCTAAATTTCCGAAACCCCATCGAGTGGGCTCACAATATGTCCCGAGGGTGTGTTATTTTTGAGGATACCCGTTTTGGGGTGGTAAGGGACACCAAAAGCCGAACCGAAGCCATTTTGAGGGGTCCCCCAAAAAAGACAGACCCCCATGTCCTCGTGGGGAAAGCTGGTAATTTGGGCTGGTGCACGTGGTGCAACCCAGGCGGAGTCCAAGGTCTTGCTCATCGACAAGATCCAGGAAGAGGCGGAGGCCGTCCTGCGATTCCATTCAAAGCAAAGATGGGCTGCGGGTTCCAGAGATTTGCCTCAAACAATGGCTCTCCCAGCGATCAGCCGCTTCGGGATTTTTTTTCTGACATCGAGGATAGACGATTGTTGCCGCCTATTTGGCCCTTCTGCAAGAATAAGTAACCCGTGCACAAAGTCCCTCATCATGAGTACGCCCTTCATTGTGACTCCTCTGACTTGTGTGCCGACTCGTGTGTCGAGGAACAAAATCGCATCCCATCCCAGAAAGGCTAACTTCTTAGCCCCAAGTCTCTGTGCTTGGGGTCCAAGGGGTCCAAGGGGGGGGGTTGCAGGGCCTGTCCTTTAATATGCTGATTTGGAGCCAAAACAAGGGCAGCCATTGCAAGCCAATGGCGACTATTAGCGACCATGAGGGATCAATGAGGGGCCATCAATAACCATTAGGGTGACAATTTCCACTGGCTCCCCGCTTGCTATGTCTCTGAACCATTGGTGCACCGCTTGCGTTGCGGAAATGACCCCTGCTGGAAGTGTCCTATCTGTTTGGATGGTTCTAAAGGGAAACCAAAAGAAAACTCCAATTTTGACGGTTCCTCTGTTCTGAGACACGTCCTGTTGTGCTTTGAGCGGAACACCTATATTATGGATTGACGAACCGAACATAAGGTACAAGAAAGGGCCCTTCACTTTGCCCCCGAATGAGACGTTGCTATAGTTTGCCCGGGCATCGATTATTTGCTTTGGCACATCCAAGCTGGACACAAAAAGGACCCGCATCCATGTCCCGCGAAAAAAGAAAAACAAAAAATAACAACATAACGTTGCGTGTGCTTAGCATCCTGGCGCGGTGTTTTTATCTCATGTTTTTCCTCTTGCCGAAGTATCTGTTCTTTCCAGGTCGTCTCCCAAAGCCATTGGGTCGCTGTCCTTTTGATCTCCGTTTCACCATCTTGGCAAGGGGTACCTCATGTGTAAGTCATAAGCATTCCCTTCCTATGATCATCCCCTCATCATAAGCATCCCCTTTCATGTGAAACATACCTCACGCGGATGCAAGGGTTACCTTTCTTTCACAAAGAAACAAAAACAAAGCATTCATCAGGACCTCCCCGGCAGCAACCGCTCCGAAGAACGTCACTTGGTAAATATGTCCCGAGGGCGCGAACCCAGAATAGCTTCCTGGACCCAAAATAGCTACCCTGAACAGCGATCAGCCCAGATTCTTTCGGGGCCTTTAGCAACAACTTGTTTGAGGGTGGTTTGAGGGTCCCAGCTTTTCCAGTCGACCTTCAAGCCTTTCAGCCTTTGGGATTGGAATGCGGAACAATTAAACGAGGCAGGGGGAAAATCCACCTGCCAACAAAAGGAGTCAGACGCTTGGACGAAGCCCAATTTGAGGTAGGTCACGGATGCTTCCCGGAAAAGTTCCTGATGATTCCTTGAGCATGTCCCCTTTTCGCTGTTGGGTGTCCTCCCAATGCCTGCGGGGGGTTGGGGGCCTTGGGAATGAGACGACGAACGGGGCCGGGTGAAAATATGACACTTCGGGGTCCGAACAGGAGGAATCCTACAATCAAACTTGCCAGTTTCCAGCTAGACCTTGATGGCTTTGGGAGTTATGACATATCCATATGGTCCATATCCCACTCATTGTTCAAAGCAAGGAATTGACACACCACCTCTATTTCCAAGGGAAAACGGGACCCTCTGATTTACCGAATGTTTCCATTATTTTCTGGTTGAGTATGGGTTTGCTCGCACTATGGCAGGGGCAGCCGTCTCTTTCAAGGCAGAGAGTCCACCGAACGGCCAGGCGGCGCGCTCAGCAGAGGACCAGGACGACCGCTCGGACGTGGAGCTGATGGACGACGACGACGAGAAGAACGAAGCGGAAGAGTCCTTCGGATCCATAAACAAATGCGTGTTTATGTTTTGCTTTGAGGGTACCCCTTGTTTGGTGGTTTGAAAGGGAAACCAAAACAAAACCATTTTGGGGGCCCCAAAAAAGCGACACCCACATAGTTGAATAGTAGGCAGCCCTTCGATCCAGGTTGCTCTCAGCTTTTCTCACGGGTGGTTCCATTGGTTACTGATGGTACAAATGGAATTACTGGAACGTTGGAAAGCCCATTATTATTTGTTGTTGCCTTGGGGCCCAGTTTAGATGATTGAACTCCTTAGGTAAACCATTTTCCATTTTTGTTTTGAGTGGGAGACGTTTTTTCATCCATTCCCCATACATGATTGAAGTCCTTAGGAAAAGATTTGTGGGTTCATCATTGTTTTGATCGCGGCCAGGGAACCCCAGAAAAGTAGGTGATGCTTCTAAAAACACGTAGGGAGCCCGCTATGGCAGGGAGGTTTCGGTTTCACTACCCTGCGTCTCAAAACAGTGATCAATTTTAGGGTAGGCTCGGACAGGCATGGGCACATGGCCCGCAAGTTAGCTAAGATGGTTAGTATGTATGGTTGAGAAAGCGGGTTCACTCGGGGTTAGGACCCATGGTTGTTGTTGGGAAACATTTTCCCATTTTTACTTATTGTGGTTTAGTGGTTGAAATCCCCACTCAACTGCCAAAATTTAATTTGTTGCTCCCCTTCCAACGTCAACCAAGCAGGAGGGGGCATGCTCCACTGGCCCAATTCCATGACCATCTAATTTGGCCTATGACGTGCTCACCCATTCAGGGGTAAGCCGAGCCCACCCATCTTCTTACTTGGTCTTTCGTCATAATTTTATCCGGCATGGGAATTATAGTACTTAGCCTCGACGTAGACGGGCTCACGCCCTGAGTTGTTTGCTTGCTACTTTTTGGGATGACCATGTTAGTGGCAAACAAGGAGTTTGGCTTCGTATTGGCCAATGCCCTCGGAAAGTGATCCAGGGAGGCCCGTCTCTTGAGGGTACCCTGAAAGGGATTTACAGGGAAGCCAAAGAGAAACGGATTTTGAGGGTTCCTGGAATGAGCCATTCAACCGAGTTTCCTCTCTTGAACAGAAGGCTCTTTGGAGGCTTTATGCTTTTGACTTCTCTTCGAAGCGAACTTGGCGAAGGGTTACCCATGTTGATTAACTCATTTTACTTGGGGGCCGGGGAAGATGCCACCCACTTCACCCTCTTCGGCAGGCTGAGGATCCTTGTGTTTTTGTTTTCTTTCTGAACAGGACGTACACCCCATGTCTGCTCATCGTTTGCAAAAGGATTTTGGCGACTCGCAACTGTTGACCTGCGGCCAAGGTACGAGTTATGGAAGATTCGCGAGTTGAAGCGAATCAAGAGAGACAAAGAGGACTGCAGTCTGCTGTCTTGTTGCCTGCCCGTCAGGGGTCCTAATATGTGGGTGTGCCAATGTTGAGTTGGCACGCTGTTTGGGCTGTTTTGGGTTCATTGCCAAAAAATGTCCTGATTTGTCCAGGGTCCATATGCGGGGAGCAACCCTAAGTTGCCCACACGAATGCCGGGACGAACTCGCATTTTCCCGTTGGGGGCTTATGGGTACACGGCGCCCTTGCCTACGTTGTTCAACTTTGACGGCCACACAACTGGGAGGTGTCCTATTTGCGTGGCTCAAAACTAAACAGCTAGGGCAAGCCGCAGGTCTTGTCTTTGGTTCCATTTACCAAGGTGCCATGATGGTAATTACCTTTTTAGAGCCACAGCCGTATTAAAAAACACAAAACAAAAAACGGCTCCGTCGTCAGGAGCGCCTCGAGAGGCAGAGGGAGATCGAGTTCGTCCTCAAGCGCGGCGCCCCAGACCTCGAGCCGACGGCTCGTGAGTCGACCGCGGCGAGAGTGGAGGTGTGGAGGAGGGGGGGGGTCCTGCAAATTGAGCTGAGCTTCTCACTCCCTTTTGGGGAGAATCATTTTAATATATATCTATGTATGTTAGTTACTTACTCTTTTTTGGTAAACAAAGAGTTCCTTTACAACATGAGCATCATGTTCGCATCATTTGTGTAAGCATCTGTTTGGTTATCGGTTTTCAGCTTGTCCCCGCACCAGACGTTGTTTCCTCAATGGGGAGGCAAATTGAAAAGGAACCCGCCCGCTTCCCTCGGAAGGTTCCGGAGGTCGCCTGCGGACTTGAAACAAAACCCAAACAATCCGGCGACGAATTGGCGATTGAGGCAACCCTGCTAACATCCATCCAAAGCATGCCTCGCATCGCAGCCATGCCTGACCTCTTGAGCTGGCAAGCGTTTTGGGTTTCTTGAGTCATGCGAGGGTCCAGCGGTCCGGTGCATGACATTTGTTTGGCCAGCAAACTGGGGTGGTTTAGCGAGAATCTTTAAGAGCTGCAGTTTGTGGACAGGCTGCTTACTTTGTTTGACCAATCGTCCACTCCGCGGCCCGCGCGTGCGCGCTCCGCGGGCTTCGCCGCTCGGGCGAGTCGTTGCCGTCACATCGCGTGAAATCCATCCGCTGGGCGCGAGACACCATCCAGTCAGCAAGGCTGTTCGACGCTTGGCTCTGCTCCTTTTGGAACGTGCACTTTGCAACTGAGTCTAAATTGCAGCCTCACATGCGGTGTACCGTTCTTTCACCTTGGTGTGAAGAGACATCAAAAGGACAACCGCAGTTTTTTGGGATCCCCGATGTTTGACGCATACTCAGCTTTCAGCTTCCATATAGGTTTTGCACTGGTGGTTTGGCAGTTCGGGAGTGGCTTCTCATTGTCCCTTGACAAGAACTTCGGCTTCAAATCCACAAACCTGGGTCACCCCAAATCTGGTCTCTTAGCTGCGCTTATGCCGAGGCGCCGGCAAATGACGGACGAAGAGCGGGCCAAAGACGACGCCAGGAGCGAGAACGATTTTTTCGCGCTTTGATCGTTGCCAGCTCAGCCACAATCACAACCCGGGTACATGAAGGTTAGTAAGGGGCAGTCCCAACCATAAATGGTTGCGGCCGCCCTCTTAATTCTTTACATCTTTGTACCGGGTTTTGATTGTGCCTCAGCTGAGTTGTTGGACTTGTGGGTTTGGCCGCAGGTGGCCCAAGCCACCAGGCGGCTTCTTTTCTCTCCGAGCGATTCCGCGCAGGCTGGATGCGGCGAACCCAAAGAGGGCAGACGTGAAGCAGTTCAACTTCCTTCAGCCGCTCGGCGTTTGTGGGTCGTTGTGAGTTTTGGAGGGGCGAAGAAAAAATAACCGAGCCACGAAGGCGGGTACCCTATTTTGATACCCCAAGTCAGAAGTCAATCCTTTGTACTGAGTGATTGCGGTCCAAACATTTTGAAGCCGACTCTCATTTCCAGGGCACTTCGGCAAGCTCACCATAGTCATTAGCTGTCATCGTCAGAGTGACCCACCCAGACGCTCATGGGGGTCAGGACGCCTCGTAGGGGCTGCACCGAAACGACCCACCCAGACGCTTATGGGGTCCGGACCCCCTCAAAGAGCTCCTTCTTGATGGCCGAGTCAGTCTTGAGCCTGGATTTTGCAGAGCTGCCAAGGGAAATAACACCAATGGCCACTCTGCGCGCAAGTCAGGAAGTACTACCACCGTGGCGGTTTCTTCCAGGCGGCGTGCGATTCGCGTCGAACTTCGCTCTGCAGAGCTCGGGACCCACAACCCCGTTCCAATCATTGTGCCCCAGTATCCAAATGGGAAATGAGCGAAAGTAAGGGCCCAAGCAAAAGAACGGTTTCCCCCTTTTGATCTCCTTTTAAGCAACAGCCAGCAGGTTTCCAAGTTCACACGAAGGCCACCCCAAGCTTCGAGTTTCGAGTGGTTGGGCCGGACTTGAGGTAGGAAGGCCGTTTCCTTTGGGTCCAAGTTCGACCCAAGAGTAATAGAGCCCCGTAACTCCCAAAGACCCGCTTTGTTGGGAGTATCATGTTAACCCCTGACTAGAGAGGAATGTATTTACCATAGAACCTATTTCCTAAAAGAGTGTTTCGAGTAGGGGGGAGCTGAAATGTCCTTGTACAGTATGGCTCACTCCCTCAATTGAACTTGATTCATTGGGCTTATTCTGAGCAATCCACAGAGTGAGATGGTGGTATACATTGTGGTTGGTGAAGAGCATGGTGTTGCAATGCCTCCCTCTCCGCTTTCCCTACTTGCCTTTTGTCATTTAGGTTCTGGGGACTCTTTGGTCTGAGACGGTTGCCACTACCTCCAAAGCACTAGCACCAGGGAACCACGTTATACAACTACAAACTTCACCCACTACATACTGGTTGTATCCCCCGCCAGCTTCGGCTGGCTGGGGTAGCCTTGGGGATATTGCAAAGCCATCTCCAAGTTGGCATGACCCCGGAGCAGTGCATCTCATCCGTGCTTCAGATCCGTGTTGCCCTGTTGGTCTTTGCTGAAAGGCTCACTGCCGGTGTCCCGAAAAACCGGACGGGATCGGACCCTCAGAAGGGTCCAATGACTTGAAGTATGGTTCTCCCTGTCTTCAGGTGAGCACCGTGTTTTCCCTGATTGGATCAAAAGAACAAATGTCATGACCGGCAAGTCTGTCTTTTTGTTGGTGACTATGCATGCCCTGAAGATGTGTTCCCCGGTGTTTAAAGGGGATATATTGTCATGGCTGATGTTGTTGATCTTTGTTGTAAAGGGAAACGGTGATCACGTTCTATTCAGTTTTCGTCATGAGGACTTCTTTGAGTCGCACCGTTTCTGTGGCAAACACATCGATTCCTTTGTCCTCGCTAGGACAAAGCAGCCTCCGGGGAGGAGTCGTTGGGCGCCCAGACCCGCTTGTTCCGCGTAGGACTCACATCAGTGGATAGTAGTCCTTGAACATGGTTGTCTTTTTTAGTGGTGGTCCCTTTGGGGTCGTATCGTGGGGAAACCAACGGAAAACGCGCTTCCTCATTCGGAGCATGAAGGTGTCCAACCATGGGGATTCCTTCAGCGGGTGAATGAAGCAAAGCGCCCAGAAAGGTGTCCAAGTATGACATTTCCGGACTGAGCTTACTGTTAGCCATGTTGTGCGCTGACTGGTGCGGTCACCAACTATGTTCATGCGGGAGCAAGCAGTTAACTTTTTGCAGGGCGTCGTGTCAGTCAGGCGTTGATCCCAACTAGTCTTGTCACCTGACCCAATCGTCAGAGAAACCGCCAAAAACAAAAAAAGACCACACATAGATTCTGGCGAAGCCCATTTTATGACAACCAGGGAACCCCCTAAAATGTGGTTCATGTGTTGGATTCCGCTGAGAAACAAATGATTTAACATTGGGTGTGTTTCTATTTTTCTGTGGTGGCCACCTGGCAGTTTCCAGTGACGAAATAGACAGTCCTGGGTTTAGCAGGTTGCAGGTTTTTTATTCAGGGTGTGTCTGAAGTTGGGGTACCCGTCAAAATAGCGGTTTACCTGTGATTTCCCTTAACCACAACCCAAAAGAGGTGTTCTCTAAAACAAGGCACACCCAGAAATCCTTTTAAATTTAGAGACGGCTGCTTAAGCTGTAGCTAGTTCAGTGATTTCGTAGTGCGTTAGGTTGGGCTACAGGATTGGGACAGGGTTCCTTATATGTTCCCTCTTGGGCGCTTTAACCTTAGGCTGGTCAAGAGTAAGGTCCGCTTGGTGGTTGGTGAGGAGTTTTACGTTTGCTAAGGATGCTCCTTTGGCCGTTGCAACTCCCCTTTGCATAGACCATTGGTCAAGGTTTTCCTTTGGTTTCCCAGCAGTTTATGGGACTGTTCCAGTGGACATGGACCTTCTGGATGATTTGACTATGGGAAACCTACAACGAGGAACAAGCAGTTGGCACGTGGATTCCCAATTGCGGCTCAACCAGTTCCCAGGAAGTCTCCAATTGTGTGCTAACTGCGCCTATTGGCGGGATATGAGTACTTGGTGTTACTCGCTTTGTCGATTAAGCATCCTCATTTAGGTTTCCCTCTAAACGCCTCCAGATGTTGCTTAGACAAGCTGCCCGTTGCTCAAATGACCCAGGGGCAACCAGTCCTATGGACAGGGGCCTCCAAAAGAGGGGACCTGAGTCCTATCAGGATTGCGGGGCTTTATTGGAGGCCCCTTGATCATGAGAGCCAAACCTTTCCAGTCGACCCGGAAATCCACCGATCCGAACAGCGATCAATGGAATCCCTGCTTAAACGGGCATGCATCAAAATAGAGGCTGTCCTAAAATTCTAGTTTGCCTGCTGGTATCCCGAACCCCAAAGAATTACCTTTAAGGACAGAGCCAATCGCCGGATTAGCCAACTGGGAACCACTTGACTCGCAAGGTTGGGCTGCGTTCCCTCTTGGCATGGTGAAAGGGGAAGCTGAAAGGACTCCGCCCACAAATTTCTGGAAGCCCCAACAAACCGCTTGAGCAGGTGTAGGCTTTCAACCCAATTCTAGCTTAAGTGATAAACCAATGTTGCCAGGCCAGCGGGTCATTAGACATCACATATTATTTGAAGAGCTTCTACCGTCCTTGATTCATGAAGATATGAAGATCAGATTCGCAATTCATGTGTGCTGCTCAAAAGTAGCTAGGCGAACCTTCCGAGTGGTTGGCCTCCTGCCCGAAGCTTCTTGGGACCTCGAAAAGACCTTGTTCGAGGTCCAAAATTTTTAAATGGAATCCCAACCCCAATGCAGGGTCCTTTCTGATGCTGAGGGGAAGCTTTTGTGTGGCCAAACCTCCAAACAGGGTTTCCCCCAGTCTTCACGATTCGAAGCATCCAGCTGGGGCATGATTCAGGACCAGGGACCAGATGGGAAGAATCAGAGTGAAAAATCACGGGGTGTACCTGGAGTATCCAACTGCCTTGAAAGAAGGGAAATCACCCAATGGTCATGGGTCAGACAAGTACCCCCCGCCCCCTCGGTAGTTGTGATCCTGTGGTCGGGTTGTGGTGGTTTAGGGTTGGTTTAGAATTGGTTTAGGGCGTATTTAGGGTGTATTTATGGTTGGTTTAGGGTTAGTTTAGGGTTGGTTTGTGTTCATGTAGGATTAGTTTAGGGTTGGTTTAGGTTTAGGGTTTATGGTTTAGGGTTTGGTTTAGGGTGTATTTAGGGTTAGTTTAGGGTTGGTTTGTGTTGATTTTGGATTGGTTTAGGGTTGGTTTAGGTTTAGGGTTTATTGTTTAGGGTTTGGTTTAGTGTATTTAGGGTTAGTTTAGGGTTGGTTTAGGGTTGGTTTATGTTGATTTAGGGTTGGTTTAGGTTTAGAGGTTTACGGTTTAGGGGTTGGTTCCACATTTGTTGAGACAATATCCATTTTTCCATGGGTTTTTGTTGAACCAGTGATCTATGGTTCATTTGGGGAGGAGACTCAGGAAGTTCTTTCCACAAGAGGACACGCCGACCAGTTTTCCCTTGTGGGTATGGGTCAATTTAGTTTTGGTTCCATTTGCCATGGTTCTATTTTGGGTACGCATTCTTGACCCACACCCATGTCCAGCGGGGAATCCGTCTCCTCGGATGCAAGACCTCGCTCACGCGCAGGCTGTACCTGCGAGACTACCACGAGCCGCTGGAGGAGGAGAAGTGAGCCATGAGGTCATCAGGTCGTTGATAGAAACCCACGTGGCCGTGGCGCAAAATTTTATGAGCTTTGATTCCAGAAGGTTCCATTTTGGTACATCTATTTGAGCCACAGCCATGTGTTTGTGTGGATCGTTTCCCCCCCCCCCCCCCCGTTCTTTTTTTTTAGTTGGTACCTTTTTTGGATTTGAAAGGAGAACCAACAGGACAACCGGCCTTTTCGGGGCTTCCCAAAAACAGACACCAATGTGTGTGTGTGTGTGTTCAAAGATGGGTGACTGAAAACGAAGTTTCAAGGGGTTCCTCACTCCCTAAGTTCCTGGACTGACATTCTGCTTGGAATGATGTATTGGCTGCAAGGGCTTTTGCTTGCGAGTTGGCTTCGAGTCAGCGGGTGTGTTTGCTTTTGTTGAGTCGAAGGGGGTTGTAAAGGAAGCCTGTTTTGGAGGTGCCCCTAGTTTGGCATGTACCCATGTGATCCCAGAGGCTCAGATTGCTTCTAAGCTCCCAAAACACCCAGTGGTCTCATCCCGGTTGACCCGCTTGACCGGTCTGGTGTGGGAGGCACCTCTTCCCTTTGGACATCCCTTGGACGTGCACAAGAAGCGACTATTTAGCGAACCCATTTTTTTCGGGTTCCGGAACTGAGAAACAGACTTTCTGTTTGTTTGAAGCAGCTATGTTTGGGAACTCAACACATGTTTTTAGAGTTCCGTTTGGTATTTGACTCAGTTTGGGGGTCCCTTTTTTGGCATTGGTACCCGTTGGTATTCCAACGGAGCCGCTCTTTTGGGTCCCGAGCCAATCTAGCAGCACCCTTCAACCTGGCATTCGACCTGCATAGATGGGGTATATGAAACCCTTGCGGAGACTCGGATAGACCAGGTAACTGGTGCGTGGATTTCGTGGATTTCGTCCGTCAGCTACCTCAATCCCTTTTCTCCTTTGGAATTCTGCCCAAAAGGTGATGTCAATATTGACCAAACGGGGAAGTATGGCCCTAGTTGGCACCCTTTTTCCCTTAGGAAGGGTTTACCTATGTCACTTCCACCAACCAAAAAGGGCTGCCTCTTGTTCTGCATAAGCACCCTTTCGGTACCCTTTTTAGTTTGTGGAAAAAGGGAAACAAAAAACTACCTTTTGGGGGGGGGTCCCCATTTTGACATAGTTGGATTGTTTGGATTTGCAAAGTGCGGTCGCTTCATGCCACCTCCCTCCCTGGCATGGCTTTGGGCCTATTCAAAGTGGGCTTAGGGGTGGATGTTTCTAGGTCACCGCTTGATTGTACAGGGAAACCAAGCCCCGCCCCTAACCCAAACGAAAACATGATTTTTTGGTTGTTGGTTCCCTTCAGCTCTCTCACGAGAAAAAAACAACATGAGTGCGGTTTCCTGGTAGTTGCCCTTTCATGGGCCTACCAACCTGGATTCCCTTGGTAGGTACTGAAGCAAACCTGGGCCTTTCCAAGGATTCAGGTGGCTAAATGGTTTCCGTACGGTTTCCCTTGAAAGCCAACCAAGGTGACCAACTGTTTTGCCGAGCCGTCGACAGGTACGACAAGCAGCTCCTGCCCAAGGCCATGCAGCTCCGGCGCGGCGAGTTCGGCAAGAAGGGCCAGGCGCGATCCGCTGTTCGCATCCCCGGCGACCGGTCCCAACAACCCGGCGGAAGGCGTTGTGCGAATTTTTGGTTGGGGGGTTTTTCTCTCTGGGAAGCCGCTGAGCCGGAGGTGGCCTGGGGAAAAAATGCGATTCAGGGGTGGGGAATACCATGCGATTCGGGCAGCCTCTTTTTTTTTCTTCTTTTTATGGGGGGGGGGGGGTGGGTGGAAAATAGGTGGGGAAAAATAGGAAGAGAAATAGGCGATTCGGGGCAGATTCGCTTTAGCGCCCTTAAATGGCTGTGGAAAATTGGGAATTTTAGGTGGCCACCTTGTACGATTCCAAAGCTTGCCTTAAAGGTCGGGCGTCGGGAGCTTTCGCGTATTTTTTTGGTCAATCCACTTGATCGGAAGGGGGGAACCATAACTTGTGGCTTTCAAAACCCTTGTGATTCCATGGGCCATGGGGTTCCTTCCCAAGTTGGGGGCTATGAATTTCAATCGTGAAAACCGCCAACCAGTGGTTGGTGGACGAGCCTTCCAAATCAATCAAGTGGGGACCTCCCCCGCACAAGAAAGACCTCTATTTAAAGGACAAAGCTTCCCACTGATGCCCCCTATTAAAAGGGAACATCAGTTTTGGCCATCTAATCCGTGGTGAAGCCAAAGGGAAACAGTTGCCTATGGGATTAGGTGTTGATGTGTGGGTTCCTTTGTTGGGATCTTGGCCCCGTGTTGGCTTGTTTTTGCATCTTTTTGCAGATGTTGAAGGGAAGCCAACAGGAAACCCATTCGGGGGTGCCGTTCTTGTTTTCACGGTTCCCTTTTTGCTTTTTAAACGGAGTTCACAGAGAGACCCCCCGACTTTGGAAGGTTCCATCTCCTAGTTTTAAGGCAGCGCTTGTTTGGGGGGCAGCCTCATCAAGTAATTACTCTCGGGTTTCGGATCCACGGGGAGGGTTCAGCCAACACTGAAAGAGCTCGTAGGGATAAGTATTGGAGTGGAATAGACGGAAACGAAGGCGAGTCTTCAAAACGAAGCTTTCTCGTACAATGACAAACAACTTCAGAGATATTCCAGTTTGGCACACAAGGGTTTGACGGCGTCTCAGGTACTTATGCTCTACTGGGGTCTCCAAAGCTATTCACCTTAGGGTAGACCGTGGTAAACTAAATTTGAAGCGGAATCTGAACATACAAGTATTTGCTGTATGCTCTGCATTTGGTGGGCCGAGTCTAGGTTTTACATGCTTTCCCTCTTTTACCAGAATCTGCTTGCTTGGATCGAGGTGTCTTTTTGGTCGTTCCAAAGGACCGAAGCGAGGGATCGAGCAGTTGGGTCAACATGCGCCATACATCTTTTACTGCGATGGCAGGAAAGATTCACATCCTAAGCTTTGGGTTGAACTTTGAAAACTCGAGTTTTGTCGCCAACGGACCTGGACGCCTTGAATAACAACTATAAGCTGGCTCAAATCGCCCGCGAAAACGCCCGGCCTGGGCCGAACCCATTCGATGTCGGCCGAATTTCGGCGGGATTCGCTCGCGAGGTGAAGCACTCGCACCTCACGGACGTGGACACCACCGACATGTCCGCCGCCTGGGCGCAGAGCTCCAAGGTGGTGCAGAGGCGCGAGCCCAGTCGAGTCGAGTGCGAGTGGAGCCGGTTTTCTTTGTAGCATTTTGCCAAGGGATGTTAGGACTTTATAACTTTTTGCTAACGAATGGGTTTTCCGTATTAAACCGCTAGAAGTTGAACTTTTCGCAGGGGAGCAGAAAGCAATCGAGTTTTGGTTCTTCCGTGATATATCAAGGGAATCATGTTCGATATCAAGAAACTATGTGATTCAAAGGGTCATCTTCAGTGATACGCTTGGGGAATTGGCTTCAAAGTAATAAATGTGTACTGTCCATGTGGGATCATGTGGGAAATATTGTTTTAGGCGCAGGACACACATTTACTGCAGAAAAGAGCAGACATGAGCAGAAAACACAAACTAACGGACACATATTTGCAGGGCATCTTCTAATTTTCTGTGATACATTTACGTTTGGAGAATCCCCCTCAAAGTAACAACAAGGTAGTCATGTGGTACGACCAAACCACCCTGGAATCAGAGACTGGCGAGTCAGTCGGCCGAGTCGACGTTGGAGCGCAGACCTCAAGGGGTTTGCCTTCACGAGGTTCTCCAAACCAATGAAATGGGAACTTGCGGTAGAAGTATGAAACAGGATCTGAGCAAGTTGGAAACCGATCTGAGCATTCGGAAAGTGTTGTATATTGTGTATTTCCGATCTGAGCATTGTATATTTGTGGTGTTCGGAAACCGCCCCCCTATCAGAAAAAAGAACAAAGAGAAAGAACCCTGACGGTCCCCCACTCCCACCATTTTTCCAGTTAGAAAAGGAAAGAGCGCCAGAACCCCAAGTTGGGTCACCCCGTCTCCTCCCTTCGGGGTCTCGCTCGCGCCTTCCCTTCGCTTGGCCTGCGACCGCCTGCCATCCGCGACCCGCCCGCGACGCCGCGACGCCGCGACCCGGCGAGGTACCAAGAGAAGATGGCGGCGGCCAAGGGCGTGGTGAACTTCGAGCGGCCGACGTTGAAGACCAGGCGACCGTGGAACATGGGTCGGTCCGTTTCGGTCAGTCTTATCCTTTTGCTGAAATGAAGATGTTTTTTTTTTTTTTTTTCCAATGGTCCCTTGGTCTTAAGAGGAACTCATCACTACTGCAAAGATGTTTTTTCTTGTTTGACCTTAACCAAATGGAAGCTGAGCAGAGGCTACCCCTGCTTGCGAACCATTCAAAGGCGAACTTTAAAAGGAAAGCGACCGGTTTTGGGGGATACACTCGCAACAAAGCACGCACCCAGAGTGTTGAGTTGGCAACTTTAGACTTTTAGTTGGAGGTGTTGTGTTATCGCCTTGGAGGCCAAAGGAGTTTGAGCTTTCGCTTGTCCCCAACAAAGAAAGGCCCGGATCCCCATATTTCCCTTCGTGGAAAGCGAAATGCAATATGGAGTGGGGCCACTTTGGTGTAGTAGGGGCTAATTTATCTTAACCTTAGAACCAGAAGTGGATTGGTTTCGGGCGCTGCTCATGTGTGCCATAGTCATAATACCCCAACCTGTTGGTATGGCCATGGACCCCAGGGCGATAAAAAGGCAATAGGGCTTGCTGGGGAACCATGACCATGGAGAGCCAAGTCACAGAGCAGTATGCGGAACAGACTGGCGCTCTAGGTATTGCTGGCATGACTCAGACCACAGATACGCTTCTACCACCTCAACGCGGTACAGCCAGCGACGAAACCAAACCCCAACGAGGTCAAAGCGACCTCCTTGAACCCGCGCAAAAACAACAAAAGACAGAAGCATGCCGTGGGGAGGGTTATCTGTTGTTGAAACTTGAAGTTCTCCTCGCATGTTTGTTTTCTAGTTGGAGCCATGCTTCGTACACGTCCTGATTGCTTTTGGAGGACCCTCAAGATGAAAACAACGATGACAGTAGGGAATACTCTGACCAATGGCATTCGTGCCAGCAATGCAACAAGCTACCACGATAATTGGGATACACCGAGATATTGACACGTTTGGAAAGGGATAATTCGGACTTTTCCACAAGTCTGTGGTTGTCTCAGGGACGCTTCTCGCAGTCTTCCTGTCTTCCGTAGTTGTCCCGTAGTTTTGCTGTAGTCCTCCGTACTGTTCGGGAGACTACTCGACCACTACTTATGTAGGATGAGTGGGATAGTTGCACAATTATGTCAAAGTAGGTCGCCGAAATTCCTAAAGAATCCCGATTGATTGTGATAATTTGGAGAGTTACGATACATAATCAATTGTAATTAGATCACAAAGATTTGTCTTGGGCATCCGGCTGAATTTTCCCAACTTCTCGGATGTTCAGTTTCTCATGTTGCCTTTTTTTGCCGAATGAGCAGCGCGCACAATCCCCCCATTGGCCAAATTAAAGCAGGTGATTGTACTACTAGGCGCTTGGCACAGGAGCTCCTCCTAGCGGCCGTTCAAAAAAAAGGTGATTGCACTACCTGGTTTAATACGGATTCTAGTAGGGCCTACTTAAACCTTTTATGACCATGTTGGTAGAACCAGTTCAGTCGCTGGGTTTTGGGCACTGCTCAAATGGGTTTGTCTTAAGGACAACCTTTTCAGGTTGGTTCAACGGGAACGAAAAGGACCCCACCATTTTGGGGGTTCCTCGATTTTGAGACAAGCCGTGTTTGTTTTCAATATGGAATTGTTGGTTTCAGAATTGGCCTGCTGACCCAACCTTTGGCTAGGCAAAATGGCCAACGCTTTGTGGCTTGCATCGGCCACGTTTCTGTTTATCCTGCCAGGGATTCCGGAGCAACCCGTCTATTTTCAGCATGCATGTCATCAATTCGTCAAATCTTGATATCATATTCGATTTGACACGTGATGCGGCTTGTGTTGACTCATTCCTGGAGTCTGCATGACACTTAAACATAGGGGCCATTACCCACAATAAAAGGGTCATGCCCCCATTTTTGAAGGGTCATGGACACTCCACGCGTGTTTGCAGCTGTCATTTCTTTTCAGACATGCTTACAATATATTTGTTGCGGGTGCTCTTCCTGTTGGCTTTGAGGGAGTCAAATGGAAAATCACCATTTGTGGGGGTCCCCTGTGCACATTTCCAGCCGGGTAACACTGGGCTCTCCTTAGTTCCCCTTTTGCGTTTGGACATCTTTTGTTTGGGACATGCAACATCAATTTGAGAGTTTTCCCCAAGCTGACTTAGCATTCCGGTTGACCAAGTGGTCATCACCAATCTAGCCGTCACAAAACAGATCCGCTCGGGGCTCCTCGCGTGCAGGGACTGAGTCCAGCTGGACAGCCAGAATTCCCTGCGAGGTTGCCCTTTGCACTCCTTGACCCGTCTCGGAAAAGACCTGTTTCTCAACATTAGGATTCCTGTTAATTGATTTCCTGGGGTCTCCTCCAAAAATAATTTAGATTCGGAAAAATCAATATTTGCAGTACCCTAGATGCTCCAAGTTGATGCTGTTTGGCCAATACGCGCAGGAAGTGGACAAGGAAACCAAAAGGATAGTGGTGACAGTGACCAGCCCTATACTTGTTTTTTGTGCGATCGAATTGCCCCCTTAGACCTTTTGAAAACACTGGACTTGTTCATTAAAGCTACAAAAGGTGATCGAGCTTTTGCTTGGAGCAACCCAGAGTAACACCCCCACTTCACAAGAGAAAAGGGCCCATGGTCCACAAGGATCGGCAATCTTCTACCCCAGCGCAGCCATACGGTTTCCTTATACTTCTGAGCGCCTTTTTGCGGGGACTTGTCACACAGCCCACTAGCTGTTGAGGACTTTTAGCAAGGGATCAACGAACACCCAAGTATGATTTAGTTGTCTTGGTTTGTTGCCTGTTTTAACCGCGTTTTTGCTTACGTATCAGACCAACCCATTGATACCAGTTCCCTGAGATAGCCACTTCTTTAGCAAAGACTAAGAGTAAAACGGATCGCAGGGTTGCCTGGGCGAATTGTCATGGACCCCCACGGGGGGGCTATGGGGAGGGGGGCCTATCCCCTATTAACCCCTTAATAAGGCCTTATTCATGGCTTATCCATGGCTTGTCCTGGGCTTATTTATCCAGGGATAGGCCCCCCCCATAGCCCCCCTTAGTCCATGAAATTGCCGATCGTCTTCAACGAACCACCAAGCCAACTCAAAAGTGAGCGAGTCTTTGGAGCAAACCTTGTTGCCGGGGCGCAGTCTGCCACAGGGCATGCCATAGCGAAAAGGTGACGCGCCGGATGCATGCCCTTGGCCGGCCACAGTGGCTCAGTTGTTCCTTTCTTTTAAATCTACATGTATATCTGGCATACATACACATATATATATATATATACATATGCACATATGTTTTACCAAGTTTCCCATGCCCCATTCCTCAACATCAGCACTTCTGAGTGTTCTGAGAATCGGATTCCGGTTCCCTGGAGTCTGAAGCCAAGGATAGCCAGACGAAATATAGTTACTGTGGGCAAGTGAACAAGCTCACCGATTTGGAGGTCAAACGAGCTCCATGATGAAGCCTTTTGAATTGGGGATTCCTCTGCTGGCTTATGGTTCATGTGAGGATGACGATGAAAAGGATGGGACGAGGATAGGCCCGCAATCCCCCGTTGTGTCCTCACTACAAAATTCAACAATGGGGGAGGGGGAACGCCCACATGGAAGAAATGGTGTGTCCTGAACTGGTCTCACAAGCAATTGCCGGCTGTTCAGCCCACCTATGCCAAGAAACATGTACATGGCAACCCTCCAACGACGGTCCTTTTCCCAGATCAGCTTGATTGTTGCTTGTTTGGTGTTTGCTTGCTGTTTTGTTTGTTTGTTTGTTTGTTTGTTTTGTTTTGTTTGTTTGTTTGTTTGTTTGTTTGTTTGTTTGTTTGTTTGTTTGTTTGTTTGTTTGTTTGTTTGTCTATTTGCTTGCTTGCTTGCTTGCTTGCTTGCTTGCTTGCTTGCTTGCTTGCTTGCTTGCTTGCTTGCTTGCTTGCTTGCTTGCTTGCTTGTTACTTAGTTTGTTTGCTGTGTTGCTTGCTGTGTTGCTTGCTGTGTTGCTTGCTGTGTTGCTTGCTGTGTTGCTTGCTTGCTTGCTTGCTGTGTTGCTTGCTTGCTTGCTTGCTTGCTTGCTTGCTGTGTTGCTTGCTTGCTTGCTTGCTTGCTTGCTTGCTTGCTTGCTTGCTTGCTTGCTTGCTTGCTTGCTTGCTTGCTTGCTTGCTTGCTTGCTTGCTTGCTTGCTTGCTTGCTTGCTTGCTTGCTTGCTTGCTTGCTTGCTTGCTTGCTTGCTTGCTTGCTTGCTTGCTTGCTTGCTTGCTTGCTTGTTTGCTTTGTTGTTTGCTTTGCTTGCTTGCTTGCTTGCTTCCTTGCTTGTTTTGTTTGTTTGTTTGTTTTTTGGTTGTTTGCTCGTTGTTATTTACTTGCTTGCTTGCTTGCTTGCTTGCTTGCTTGCTTGCTTGCTTGCTTGCTTGCTTGCTTGCTTGCTTGCTTGCTTGCTTGCTTGCTTGCTTGCTTGCTTGCTTGCTTGCTTGCTTGCTTGCTTGCTTGCTTGCTTGCTTGCTTGCTTGCTTGCTTGCTTGCTTGCTTGCTTGCTTGCTTGCTTGCTTGCTTGCTTGTGATTGTTTGTTTGGTTGGTTGGTCGGTCGGTTGGTTGGTTGGTTGTTTGGTGGTTTTTGTTTGTTCGATCTGTTTGTTTGTTTGATATGTTTGTTTGTTTGTTAGTTGTGTCGTTTTTGGTTAGTTAGTTGCTTGGTTGCTCTGTTGGTTGCTTTCACTATTGCACTTAGCTGCACACCCCACTTGGCGCAGCTGAAGGAATTTGTTCGCCGTCCGCTGGACCTCGCCGGCATTAGCATCAATTTAGCATGTTATTGCCCTGCTTGCAGGCGCGACAGCTTCCAACCATGCAAACTCTAGAAATCTTTATAGTTGCTTCCATTTGCTTGAGAATATGATTCATTTTTCCCTGTTGGATTTAAAGGGAATCTATCACTATTGGAAAAATTCAACAACAAAAACATGTTTCAGGGGGCTTAAGAAAATGGAAGACGAGGTCTTTGGGGGCCAACTGTTTTTGTCCAGGTTTAGGGGATGGGGAAGAGCAAAACAATCGACATGGGCCTAAAGATGATTGTTCAACCAGATTCCAACCATGAACAGTTGCGCGTGCGGAGATTCAGTCTTCTACACCGGGTCAGACGGATTCGACCCCTTGCGAAAGGTCAAGAACTTTTTTTCTGGTTGAAATGGAACATGATGCTCAACCAGAAAGGCAAACCATTTGTTGAATGGCAAGCCGGGAGGGTTGATTTGAACATGTTGAAGATACAGCGAGCAAGAAGCTGTAAGCGCAAAGATGTGATTCCGTTTTGTGAGGCCAAAGGCAACCTTTCCGGGGTTGGTTAGGGAAAGGCACAGAGTTCCAATGGAAAGCGATCCATTTGGTTGAACTCTCTCGATTTGTCGCTCGCAAAGTGTGGTCGCGGGTATGAGCATAGCTGATTGTTGCTCACTTTGGTTAAACATCCTGTAAGCTTCTCTCTACATGGGACCAGGGGTTCCGTTTTTTAGACGAATTCTGCCTAATATTTTTTCCAGTCGCCACTGCAGCCAGTGGTGGTAGCAGGCGACCAGCAACTTCAGGGGCAATCCCTGGTTACCTTGCACACTTTGTGGTATTCTGTCCAGTCTTTCGCCCCATGTCCCGCTAACATGCAACAGATAAAGGTTCCTCTGAGAGCAAACTGATCTTCGAGGACCTTCCGACAAATGCTATGTTGCTGAAAGGAAGGGCATTTCATTAAAACAACGTGCTGTTTATGACTCAGGTGTACACGGGTCACGTAAAATTGGACATCCCTCTTGGATGGCGTTTTCTCGGGGAAACTCGGAGCTTTCTGTTTCTTCCACGACCGGTTTCAGCCGAGAGGCTCCCTGAAAGGGAGACTCGATGCAAGCTCCACCGAACCGTCTTCCAGGAGATTCGGGGGGGATGGGCTCAAATGTTTGTTTTGCCCACACGCCTACTATGTTTGTTTTGTTTCACGAAGATTAGCCCAATTGGATACTTCCCCAAGTGGCTTTGACTTCAAACATCACCTGTTGGCTATGAGTTTTCGCAAACAACGAAGGTACTTTTGGACCATTGGCGTCTGCGGAGGCCCTCATGATGAACATTAGAGGTGGCTGCTTCACTTCTCATCATCCGCGTTGGCTCACAACCAAGCGAGTGCAACATGGCGTGGTGTGAACATATTATTTGCAGGCCCCATATTTTTGTGCCCAGGTGTTGCGCAGGCCTTTCGAGGAAAAGCATCCAACAGGTCCTTGTTCATGCGTCTCGAAATTGGGGAACTTAACCAAGGTGGGGTTCCTCTAGGTTTCCAACAAAAAGGGGGCCTCAAAAAAAGGAACCCGCCCACCAAACCATGGTGAGGAGAAAAGATAGTTGAACTTGTCTGGGCTGTTCAATCTCGGCTTTCCCAGCGGATGGACAATTGGATTGGCCACCACATGTTGAACAGCCCAGCCTTTGTGGGAGGTTTTGGTTCACTGTGCTGCTGTCAGAGCAAACACCGGGAAGGCCAACAGTGGCCCGGTTTTCCTTAGCGTGGAGAACCGTGGCAGGTGTAATAAAGGTTTGGTTGAACATTGAGGTGGTTGAACCATAGGCTGTTTGAACAAGGGGTTCAGGAGGTATCAGGGCTGGTAAGCCCCTTTTGAGCAGTCAAGTTTGTAGATATGGTACTGAACAACTCACGTCCCCGAGTTTCTGGACTTTCAACTTTCAGGTTTTGAACTTGGATGGTGGCGCTTGCAGGTTTGGAGTTCTTTGGCCGTAAACAATCAGACCTCTTGGGCCTCGGTTCAAATTGAGGTCCCTGCACCAATCCACTGGATGAGAAGTACCCAAAAGACGACCGGGAAGCACTTGGCCCATCAGGAGCCGCAGCCTTACTCACGTGCCCGCCTCAAGGTGTCGGGAACGGATTGCACGGCGTGTTGCGTGCTGGTTCAACAAGAGGTTGGGCTGTTCAAATCCAAGAAACGGGGATGGGGGGTTGTCCCAAAGAAGAGACTTCCGCTCAGAGTGTCCCAGAGCGTCGATGGTTGCAGAGCACCAGCCAGAGTTCCGCTGACAGAACATGAATTTGTCATAAGGGTTGTTAAAATGGGGGTTGGTCAACTCTGGTGTCTGCCCACATGCCAAAACACGCTGATGGCACTGTCCCTGGAAAAAACGACAACACAGGGCACCAATCTCCACTTACACCTGTGCCATCATCAAACCTCCAACTGAAGTTGAGCCGTAAATTCGGGCGGTGGTCTTTTCAATTCGGTGCATAGGTGTTGGTAGACTGTGCTGACACCAGGCTTTGATTATAACTCATGCACCAGAGGGCGTGTGCCCAGCACAATGGGCCGCCCAATTTGAGGGTCCTACGCTTGCGTTTGGACCCTTGGCATCCCTGTGCAAACCAGAAAGATACCCAGAAGTACAAATCGAGGCTCGCTCTGGAACCTTAGGAAGCAACCCTTGCTTCGGGGGTATGAACCTGGGTCTGGTTGGGACACACACGGTTGGGAGTTTTCAACTTGTGGATGTGTGTTTCCAGAAGTTAGGGGTTTCCTAGGGTCCTTAAATGAAGGGATCAATCTTCGAGCACAGCCTCTGTCCAGTTGTCAACTGTATATTTCAAATGTCCCATTGCACGTGTGACGGTGACGTCAAGGGGCCTTTGCTTTTGTTGGGACACTTCTCCAACCATCTGGTGGCACCGCACAGAGTCAAGATCAAGGGGTTCCATGCTCTGCAGATCAGAAGGAACATTGGATTTTCTCAAGAAGATTCCTCTCAACGGGGTTGGGGTTCGTAGCTCTGGCAGTACCTTGCAGAGTACTTTCCTCGAATTTGGGTTTCAGGAGCCGGACAAATTGTACGCCGGGCTTGGTCACTTGCCTCCGGAAGCCAAAGGGACGTTAAAGATGGGGATGTCCCGCGGCTTCCAAAATCATGTTGTCATTTGGGGTAGACCCAATGCGAAGCAGAATCTGAGTTCCAGGTTCCTTTTTCCCCCGGTGTAACCACAAAATATATGAGCCACGTTCCGTTATTTTCTCCCCGAATCCTGGGCCATATTTCCAGCAGCTGGGGCTTCGCTGAGGTGCCTGCTTAGCTTATGTCACGCCTATCCTGTGACGACCTCAGCGCTGGATGAGGCTACGCAAGCCATCTGATCAGCCGAAGTGTGCAACTTGAATTTTAGACAAGCTATTTTTTTAAGTATATTGTCTATGTGAACACACAAAAGTAAATGTACATATATATATATATATCATAATACAATACGCAACATACATAAAGTATCCCCCCGCCAAGAGCCCACACCCACTGCGCACGCTGGGTGAGTCGAACCTCGAAAAAACACCAGTTGTTTGACGATTGTCACTTCGCTCGCGCAACCCTCTGCACACTTTCGGGCGGTCGACCTAAAAACATTCATGCTTTTGAGTCAGTTGAACCCTCTGCGGACTTTGGGGGTGTCGACCTTAAAAACTCTTCTGTTGTTGGATTTCGCTTGAGGGATTTTGGTTGGCGGGGAGGGGTTAGGGGGCTGGACCTTTTTCTCTAAGCACACACACATGAGAGTCTTTCTAAAACCCTTGAGATTTTTTTAGGCTGAGTCGCGCAAGCTCCGCGTATGACTAAAAAGTAGCACGTGGTTAGATCCCACGCTTTCATGATTATATGTAACATATGTTGTTTTTTTGTCTGCAGCGCGGAAGCTCTGCGGAAGCTCCGCGAAAGCCTTGTATGCTGGAGTCGTTGTAAAGGTCCTTGTAGCACACTTTTACTACAAAGCTGCCATTTTTTAGCTGGAGCTGTGGAAGTGTGTTTCGCGTACTACACTTGTACTACACTTGAACAACCACCATGTGCAGCCACTTGGGCTGAGAAAGCGTCATTTTGCGACAAGGCCAGCGTGTTTCGATAACGCGTTTTGTCGCGGAAGCGGGGCGGAAGCCTAAAAGCGAAACAAGCCGGGAAAAGACATTTAGAACAACCCTCACATGACATTTGCTTATAACAGTTTGGCTTCCCAAGTTTTGGTGCTCCAAGAAGTACGCCCTCGGTTCCCGAAAAAGGGCTTTTGGAGCTGCCCTCCTTTGTTGCAGGAGAAAGGACTGGGGCCTCTTTTTTGACACGTTGCGTGTGTGTGTGTGGCTCACAAAATGCGGGCAGTCTTGAAATATCTTGCTTGGTTGGGGTAAGAAGTTCCGTTTTTTGGTATGAGCCTCAATCTGGCTTGGCTAGCTAGAATTCACCTAGAAGCATGCGGGTGTGTCAAAGGGGACCGGGTGCCCCAACATGAGCGGACTCCTGCGGACAACAACCAAAAAGGGGTGCCAACTCAAAGAGCGAAGGCGCAGACAATGATCATGTAAAGCACCCGACAACTGTGCTCAAATTATCCAAGCCCTTCTTCGTGATCTGCTCCTCACCATCCCCGAAAAAAGGTACCAACTCAACACAACTCTCTTGCATCCATGTCTTCCACCCGTTTCCCGGATATCTTCAAACCTGTGCTACCTTTATGTCCATTGGGTATGCTAACTTATTGTGACTCACCATGTTATTCTAGCCCTTGCATCAAGTTCCGTCATGTATCCCTGAATTGCTGGTTTGGATTGGTGGCTTCAAGATTCGAACCCTTTTTTCTTGTACAGGGCAAATAGGAACCGCGCCCCCCAACCTTCAAACCAGTCTGAATCACCAAGTAGAAGAAAACTGACTTGGGTTTCATACTTGGGTTTCCATACTTGTGGGTTACCTGGATGTGTTGTATTTTTTGGAGGGGGTACCCTTTCTTTGGTGGTTTCAAGGGAAACGAAAAGGAGAACCGATTGGGGGAGGCCCCTAAACATAGGGGTTCTGCCTCGAGGATCAACCAGCGCCGTCGGACCTCTGCGAGGCGCTTCCAATGGCTGGTCCATGGGATGGGTCCCGTTTTGTTGTTCATTTTCCCGTTTTGTTTTTTCACTCTATGCGTGCCCAACAAGTTGCTTATTTCCCCTTACGAAAAACACGTGTAGTTACGTGTAAATTACCACTCAGGCATTGGCCTCTATTTTTTGGTTCTTAAGCCTACAAAGGCGCAAAGGGTCGTTCAACGACCTTGACTCCTCAGGGCTTGCACAACCCGGCCAGGTGAATAGCTTTGGCTAAGCCTGTAAACCTTTCTAAGCATGTGGGAGCCAAAAGTCAATGAGTTTTGAGCGCTCAATGAGATCCTGAAACAGGCTCTTCTTGTGTTGTTTTGGTGGGGTTGGGGGGGCTCAAAACACCAGGGGTGATCGTTTGTAGGAGTTTTACTAGTTGTGACCTTGTCCAGATGTTTGCTGCCTTGGTTGACACTATGTCAACATAGTGTGCCTCTTTCGAAACGGTGAGAACCATAGAAAAAACCCGAAACTCTAAAAACAACACAAACTAGAATTCCCCAGGTTGTAGGTTGAAACTTGATGAGACCCTGTGCGAGGTTAAGTAAAGGGTGCCTAGCTGGTACCTTTCCTAAGGCTTAGGGGTCGGCAAGTGGGCGCCAGCGGTCTCCAGTGGCGCTTCCGATGCGGGTAGACAATGGCGGGCAGACGAAGAAACAGGACTGGGGTGGACTTAGGATACATTTTACATTCTTACCTTTTAAAAACATAACTTTTCAACTTTTTGGGTAACATGGGCTATATGTCTGTAAAAGATTAACTTCCCCAGGGCTTGGAGTTTTAAGGGGTAAGCATTGTTACCAGTGACTCAAAGTGAAGCAAACAATAGAAGATACACTCTATAGCTGGGCCTAACTCTGATCATGAGGAAGCTAATTTTCATGCGCCCAACGTATGATGTCCAGCCAAAGATCTCGTCCCACCAAGCAATGTTTGCAGCCAACACTTGGTTCCAACCAAACACATGCTCCCGCTCAACCTCTGTTCAGCGCAACTTTTTTTGCTCGCAAATATGCTTTCAACCAAACATGTGTTGTTCGAAAAAAAATGATGTTTTCTTTCCAACCGCAGATGTTCCAGACGTAGTTTCCAAAAAGCAAGTCCAGCCTTGGGCTGGAACCTTTGTCTGTTGGATTAGTTGCCACTTGCAAGCAGTGGATCACTTGTTGCAGGCTGTCAGGACCAACCCAGCAACATGTAGTAATTGCGGAGTTCGAAAGTCAGTTGCGCCGCGCAAGATCCTCATTTGGATGCCAGATGGATGTGGCTTCCCTTATGAGGGATCCCACGTTCAACAACCCAGAAATCTAAAGGAAGTTCACAAACCCCTGATTTGGGAATTTGGCGAGTTTCCTGTCGAATTTCCTGCTGGTTTCTGTGAAGAAACGACACCGGGTCGCCACTTCCCGAGTTTCTTGCCTGAGTTTTCTTTCGGAGTCGGCGAGGCCTCCTTTCTGCAGCGGGGCCTTGAGGCAAACTGGGCATCGATCCGAGGGAAGTTTTGGTCGGAGTGCTCCAGGCTGCCACAAACTGCGCTTGAGCCAAAATCAAAACCCGGGTAGATGAAGATTAGTAAGAGAAATACCAACCCTAAATAGCTGCGGCCGCCTTCTTCATTCTTTACATGGTTCTGGGTCGACCATTTAGTACCTGGTTTTGATTATGGCTCACTTTATCTCCTGTCGTCTTAGGCAAAACACACGCCAATGCTTCAACAAAGGGCCAGAAATGTGAATGCAACTCTGTGCCCGTAGACCCTGGCGCAACGAGGAGCAGGGGTGTGAGCTTGGTGTTGTCAAGTTGTTTTCGGGCGCCTTGTTTATTGTCGATCAGGCTTTGCAGGGGCCTGGTGGGGACTCCATATTCGACCCCTCAAGAGGCAGGCGGTACTTTTAATTAGTGGTTTCGGGCTTTCAAAATTATATCTGGGTGTGGTGTCCCTTGCTTATGATTCATACAAAAGGTAATTTGAAGGATGTCACTTTGTTGTGACCCCTTGCAGCAATGCAAGGGCGGTAGAGAAAGGGTCAACGCTTGTTTGAGGGCCCCACGAAAAGTTGGAAACCCGAAGCACCAGAGGATGCAAGCTAAAGTCCATGGGTCAACCCTGACACAAAAACGGTTGACACCCTAGGTTTTGGGGTCGATTCCATGATAAGGACGCCTTTCCTGGACCCGGTCTCTTGTTGGCCCGGGGATCCCTAGAGAGAGACCTCCTAGGCAGCATGGGTGTGGCTTGTGTGGGGCTACCTCCGTGAAGATCAACAGGACACCAACAACTTGTTTGTCGAAATCTCATTTGGCTCTGGGTCAAAACCGATGGGGTCCCATTTTGGGGTAGGTGAATTCACCACCCACTTTAGAACCTATTTTACTGGTTGGATTGGGATGTTCACTGGGGGTACGATTTTGACCCATGGCCATTTTGAGCCAGATCTGCCGCTCACTGACACAGAGAGCCTGAGGGAGGATACCTGGAAGCTGCATATCGTCTTGAAGAGAGACCTCTTGTTGATAGGAGGGGTGCCCCCTCCTTTTGGACTGAACTCTTGGCCCCAAGAGGCTGTGCCTCAGAACAGGGGAACTCAGAACATGTTTGTTTTCCTTTGCAATTCCTTCAAACCGAAAAGCTACCCTCAGAACTGTACATGGGAACCCAGCCCTCCAAACCACCGATTTCAGGGAAGCTGAAACCTGCAAGTTGTTGATTTTCGCATGCCTGGACCCTCGTCCTCCGGGGGAAAAAACAAAAACGGGAAATTGTAGCACTCTTTGCCTCAGAAACCTGAACCTCCTAAAACTCCTAAACACAATGCTCGCGGCCTTTGCCAGATTAAAGGAAACTTCGCTGGGTTAAACAACTGAATGCAGCGCGCAAGTTTGTCAAAACATGCAACGGCGGTCCAAAGTTGTGCGGTCGCGCAGAAAAACCGTACCCATGTTGACCGCAAAACGCCCGCAAATCTCCTGCAAATCTCCCGCAAATCTCCCGCAAACTCCCGCAAATCAGAAAAGTCGTAGTTTTGATGATCAAGGCATCCCATGGTGTTCACTGGCACGTTGGTAAGTGGTGCGAGGTGTATTTTCTTTGTATGGTCAATGTGCGACTGGAAACCACGCAATTCGTATGTGTTTTTGCCCAAATTGTAGCTAAACCACTGGAATTCGGTAAATCGTAGGGGTCTCCCAAAAGGTCACAGGCTGTTAAAAAAACCTGGGGGCGAAAGCTAGGTCACACGTGTTTTCCCCAGGCTTTTCTGCAATTTGTCATCTCTGGCTCATGCTTGGCAGTGAACGGGAGAATTAGGGCAGCATTGTTTTCATGCATAAATGGTCAAAAACCCAATGTTTTTTTGCGTAGTTGCAGTTCAATTGTTCGAAAATCTGAACCAACAAGCTGCAGCCAACGGTCACGGCTGAAATCCTTCCCAATCAGAAGCCGATGCTGCAAACAAGCTGTGCGTATGGCGAAACACATTAGAGTGAAGCTGGGTTGTTGTATAGACTTGCAATGATTGCCACCCTCTGTCCATACATTAAGCCCCCACTATGCTGCAAATGGGTCGTTTGCGTGCTCTCGTCACAGAGACTCTTCTAGCAAGCTCATGTTTGCTGGGTTGGACATTGGTGGCTCTCCAGACGCTTTTTGCCAGCATCTGCAACCAACGTTGGCCATGCATCAACCTATGTGCACTGGCATGTGTGTTCGTGTGCGCGCAAGCCTTTCGTAACGACGGTAACATCCTCCCCCCCCCCCACCCCCCCCACACCCCACCCCACCCCCCCGCACCCCACCCCCACCCACCCCACCCCCACCCACCCCCATCCCCCACTCACAACTGCAACTCGACATATCATAGCCCAAAAACAAAAAGCACTAAAAGTACCAGGTTTTTTACCAGCCTGTTTCCTCCTAAAACACCCAGAAATTTCCCAGAGTTTGAAGGCCCAGGCACTCAAATTGGTCTGGACGTGCTTTGCAGTTGAAAGGAATCGAAGTGCGGGGAGTGTGGAATCGGGGACCCCTCTCCCTCCAGGCCCCAGTGACTCCAATTGAGACCAGGGATCCACTGGGCAAGGTCGAACTCATTTCCCCACGGAAGAACATCTAGGGATTTCATGAGCCAAGGGCTGTCCCATACTTGGCTGGATTGAATTTGCGACACACGGAAGGAACATGGCCGAACACGGTGGCTTGAAAAATGGCTAAGTGCCCTGCCCATCCATCGGAAATCATCATGAAACACCCAGCTTTACACATGGTTTCGCCCAATGATTTCATGTGCCGCTTTAGGGGACCCAGAATACTCACCGTTGAAAAGCACAGAGCTGGTTGGCAAATTGGGTGATTCTACTACCTGCGATAAAAGGTCAGAGTACTCGTAAGGCCCATCTCAGTCTTCATGATTGTTTATGAATAGATGCTAGTAGAATCAAACATCAATGAGTTTCGGGCACTGCTCAAATGCAAGATAGATGGAGGATAGTTGGTTACCTACCGTGGCTTGTAAGATGATGTCCTGGGCAGGTTACCCACCGGCTTGAAAATGTGTCCGACATCCTTCGGCACAAGCCCATGGAGGCTTGTTCTCGTCGTGCGACATTGGCTTTTCACACGTCTCACGCCTAAACCCGATGGAAACCCCACTGAACGGCGAGTGTCCCTGAGATTGGGATTGAAGACGGGTTTGTGAAGGAGTTTGTTGAAGCAGCTTGTGAAGCAGGAGACTCATTGACCCTTGAATATAGATCGGCGGCCTTGGGCCATTTTGAGGTTGGGCAAGGACCCTACCCGGACAGAGCTTTGACCAGGGCGCACAGGTATTTGTTGATGGCACTCTGCTGGTGGTTGTTGTTGATTTGGGAAGTCGAGACTCGGTTTGTTTGTGGATGGTCAGATGCATGTTTTTGTTTTTGCCCTATTGGGGGAGAAGCGCTCATGGGACCCCAGCCACGCAGGCCGCTGAAAGTCAAGATGTGAGAGGGTTCCCTTTCTCTTCAATGTTCTTTGCATGTTGTTTTTACTTTGTTGCCCAGTGGTGCCCATGTTTCCTTTTTTGGGTAAGGGTTCCCCTTTATACTCAACCAACAAATAGAGGGTGTCCTTTTTTCCCATGGAAATCCACTGGGTATCTGATTTTAGTTGTTTGGTTCTGTCCGTTGTTGGCCGCAAAAGCTGTCAGCTTGTCAGCTTTTCGCTATCAGTAGCCCAAGACCTCGAGGACGTGATTTTGACTCTCTGGTTTGATGTGGCTCGTCTTTGGATGCGAAGGTTACCAAGCAAGTTGATAGTGTAAAGAGAAGCCAAAGGACACCCGATGCCTTTTTTGGGGCCACTATTTTGACACATACTTGGCCTATCAAACCTACCCTTAGAAAGGGAACTTCCTCATAATGATTATGGGGCAGTATCCCATTTCAATGGGTTGTTTGAGGGTCCACCTAAGTAACAAGGTGTGAGTCCCTTGGCAAACCAAACACCTCGGCAGAGCCCCGTCCGGCTTAGGCGCCGTTGATGGTGGAGAGGCTTCCCGCGAAGCCGCGAGAGGTTCGGGGCGGGTGAAGCCGGGGAGGGCCTGGCCAAGACAAATTCTGCTTATCCAGACCCCAACATCCCAGTTGCCTAGATGTGTATGTATACATATATATATATACATACATATATATATATATATATATCAGGTAACCTGCCACTTTCCTCTTGGTCTGTTAAGGGTGGTTCCATTATAGCTTGGTGACACGTCAGCTGGAACGCCCGGCTGACTCGCTCTCTCCTTTCCTTTCCTTTCCTCTCGAGGGAAATGGAGCCGCTGGGTTCAAGACTGATTTCGGACTTTTTGCTTAGGCAAGAAAGCTATAGGTATGGGGTTAGAGTCTGAGCACTCTAAGATAGGTTGGACTCCCATCAAGAAATATTGCATTGTGGCTACATAGTGGTTGTGTATATCCCATTGAAACCGGGCCGCATAGCGACCTGGTTGAGTTGAGTTGAGGCAGGCTGGTATTTCACGCAAATGGAATGTCGGTTTTAGGACCGGGTGTGTCTCTAAATTGGCGGAACGTCTGGAGAAATTATTTGTGTCAAAAACACCCGATTCTGCTTGGTTTCCTGCTGCCTTGACTTTCAAAGAGGGGACCCCCTAAGCCCTTTGCCAGGGTATAAGCTAGTGATTGGAGGGACAAACGTCACGCAGAAAAGAAAAAGGAGGCTATAAGTACAACCTCTTACACCATGATGTTATACGTGATGCAAACTCTGTGCTGTGCGGGTTGCTGAATTGTTTAGTCCAAACCACCGCCCCACTCCGTTTCGAACACTCCAAGGGTAGCCATCCGCAATTGAAGCCTGGTAGAGGGGCCGTTTCGAAGCTTTGCAGAGTCTTGCTCCAAGCACAATTCCTTGAACTTGAACCTGTTGACCTTGAGATCCCAAACCCAGTCCCTCTATGTCCAGGTCCTTTCACCCTCCGAAAAAAAAGGTGCCCTGACCCTAAATGGGGCCATGACCCCGGTTGTTCAAGGTCAGACGGCAACTTCAAGCAGGTGGTAAAACACAAGTCCAGAACCGTGTTCCGACTAATCGTCCTTTTGCTGGCCTCACCTAGGTTGCTTCTATCAACCAGAACCCTCAAACTACCAACAAAGCATGTAAGGAGGCAACCCTTAATTCTGGGTGGATGACAGTGGATGACCAATTTTTTAGAGGCACCAATTCTGGGGGTGCGTCGTGTATTCTGGGGGTGAATGACCCATAATTCTGGGGGTGGTCGATTCTGGGGTGAGTAACCCATTTGGATGTTTTTGCCGAGGCACCCAACGCAAGGGGCTTCCTTGGCCGCCAGGCCGTGCCGCAGCCTAGGCAAGCCACCGAGGCGGGCAGATGGGCCCAGGGGCCCAGGGGCCCAGGAGCCGACTGCGGTTTGGGGAGGTTGACCTGTTGGTTGTCCCTTTTTGGTCCATTAAGGTTGACCTGTGTGTCTTTCCTTTGGGCAAGTGTGATTGTTTGTAGCTGTTTGTAGGAGAGCTGTGTTGTTGGTGTGTGTGTGTGTGTGCGTGTGTGGGGTGGGGGGGTGTTGGAAGTTCCCCATTTCTAGCTAGCTTTAAAATTAAACCTGGATCCTAATTCCAGATTTTGTGGTCGCCGCAGATTAAGGAACTGAATACAGCCCAGAGTTGGCATTGTCTTGCGAACAGGAGGGGGTTGTGACCCAATTGGTACACAGCAGGTCTGCACTTGATTTGACGAATTTATGTCCCGAGCGAGCCTTCCTCTCGCTTGTTCTCATGCACATGACCTTCCACCCTTAAAACGTTACAAATGGGTGGCTCATCTATTTTCTGAGGCTCGCCACCCTTGTTTGGGGTTGTTGTTGTCGTTTTTTTTCCAGGGAGACCTAAACTAAAAAACGACCCTTTTTGGGGCTTCCCCATTTGAAGACACCCCCAAATGGATGCTGCGCTGTGCAGCCATTGGGTGCTGAAGCCCCGAGCCAGGCGCCGGAGAGGAAAGGCGAAGCCGCGAAGGCGACGAAGGAGGCGAAGGCGCGCCGGTGCCGAACTGCCTACAAGTCGCTTCCTGAGTTCCTGGACTTGATACTTTGGCCAGAGTAGCCCGCAGACACAGGAGGTGCTGGACTGCATTCCCGAAAGCATCGCGAAGGGTTCTTCCGCGCGGAGCTCTGTCAAATACATAGAGCCAAGTGCGTGGAGCCAAGTGCAGAGAGCCAACTGCATAGAGCCAAGTGCAGAGAGCCAACTGCATAGAGCCAAGTGCAGAGAGCCAACTGCATAGAGCCAAGTGCAGAGAGCCAACTGCATAGAGCCAAGTGCTCGCGGTTTGCGCGCCTGCTTTTGCAATCGCGCGGTCGCCGGTTTGATTCCCCCCTGAAAGAAGCCGTAGTCGTAGTATGTGGAGTGTACTCCTGGCGGCTCCGACCGGAAAATCGCAACCCTGAAGCGCAGACGTATAGTGCACGGAGCACCTCCACAGCTCGCATCTTGCGCACAGATGCAAGTGCCGAGCATCTTGCGGAGAGAAACTTGCACAGAGCAACGTGCACAGAACAGCTTGAAGACAGATGTCGAGCCACTTGCGTGCAGACAGCAGCTTGCGCGCAGCAGTCTGGAACAATGCAGCTTGCGCAGACACTGCCATGTTTCCTCTCGTAGGACGATGAGATGGAGCTCTCATGTGACCATACACATTGAGCATCGCCGCGTGCAGACACGCTCGCCGCATCGATGTACAAAGGTGTCTCCGCTGGAAGAGCTCTTGGGAAAAATGCATTCGGGCCAATCGTCCTCTAGTTGTTATTCACTTTCTGGGGCTTTGACAATGTTTAGTGGCACGCAAAAAGTTTGGACTTTTTTTGGGCCATCCACTTAGGAAGTGAGACTAGCTATGATAGCAGCCCGGTATGATAGCAGTAGCCACTTGTAGCTTGCTGAAAAAAGTGTAGCTCTTTATAGTGGACCAGCAGTTCCTAATGGTTTACAGCTAAAACCATGACACGCGCCCGACTGACAATTCTCGTATTTCTGATCATTTCGTCCATTGCAGCCCCACGCGCCCCGATCTCCCCCCCCCCCCCCGTTTCCCCAAGTTTCAAGACCAGTTTCCCCAAGCAAGACTCCCATGGGGCCCGATGGCCTTTGGAAGAAGTCGGGTCTTGCGCCATGTGTTTTGTGTTTGGTTTCCCTGTTCAATCATACCCTACGGAAAGGATGTCCATTCCCTTTCGACTTAAAGATTGATTTCGTAAAAGCCAACCCATCCTGCCAGATGTTTCCTTCCCACAGGTGAGGGAAAATCGTAATCCGCTCAAAGAATGGGATCTCTCAAACTCCGCCATATGTCCTATTTTGCTGGGATTAAACATTATCCCCTTGCTTGCCAATGTAGAGCAAGGGCAAAGCTCAAGGGAATGAGGCAGAAGCATCGCCAAGGTATGCGCTTTCAACAATCTGATCTCATTGTTGCTGTACCCCAGGGTTTCAAGTAGATGCCCGTGTCCAACCACACACCGTTGTCCAAGGGTTCCAACATGTTCCCTTGCAATGTTTTGGGTTAGGCCATTGAACAATTGAACTCGGAGTTATTTCTGCAAGGTTAGACAGTTGTGTCTTTCTGAACATCTCATTTTTGGTGTTCCCCAGAGTGAGACCGCAGAATGGGTGGGTCTCTGGACTGGGAGTTTCCCTGCGTGAGAGCCAGGCGAACGCCTCAAATATGACCGAGGTGCGAGGGCGGGCAGCGGGTGTTTGCAAGAATAGCGCAACCCAATCACTTGCTGGTGCGATAGGCAGGGAATGAGAGAATGCACCTGGGGATTCCCGAATAAAGGAAACCGTATCATATCATATCATATGACTGATTTTTCTTGGGATTATTCCATTTCTTATTCCCTGCTGAGCAAGATTAGGCCAAGTTGGATGGGTTTCCTGGCTACGACGAATCTGTGCCCAAGATCGTGTCTGAGGTAAGTCCCACAAACCGGAGCACAAATTCTCAAGGCAGTGCTTGAACCGGAAGAGCTTTCCGGAGCTGGCCCAGAGTTGAGATCCAAGGCAGGCGGTCAGGACATAGTGGGACAAGGTCCTCATGACCTACCCACGAGTCTGCCGAGGCCGCTGGATTGTCGGATCCTGTTTGAGCTGCAGCGGCATCAGTTTAGCTCCGGAAGTTGGTGCTTCCACTTCATTCTGGGAAAGTTGCAATTACCAGTGGCACCGAGGGAGGGTCATCGCGCAGACATTGCGGCGAAATTTCTCAAGTTTCCTTTACGTCCCCGATCACTGCGATCGGCAAGGGATGGCATGGCCGGCTTCGGGGCTTTCCACATGTCCCTTGGGGGTTTGCTTTACACATCACCCTTTGGGTGAAGCTATGAAGTGAGCTTCCTTTTGGTGGGGTGATGTCTTAGGGAGAGATATTAAAGGCCTGAGCTTCGTCTGGCGGGACACAGACATGTTTTGAGATTTGTGTTGAACCTATGTTGCATTTCAACGCTCGCATGGGACCAGAACACGATAGGTTATGTTCTCTTGGGCGCAACAGTTGAGGTTTGGTTCTCAATTGTCCAGGAAATTGTCCGACTCTTGATGGGAAGAGGCCGTTCGTTGGGTATTTCCCATGCTTGGATTTTAATCTAAACAACCTTTCGGTCCAAATAAGATGAATTTCCTTGTGGGGCAGTATTTCTAGTTTGGAAGTATGGGCAGCTTTATTAACATCAACCAGGCCCAAAAAGGGTGCCCAGTTGTCTTTACTCCTCTCCCTATTAGGCACCACAATCTTATTATTTGCGGCCTTGGGCAGTCTTTGACGCCCTCATATTTGGGTCCAAGGGGTCCTTAAGGTCTAGAAATCTCTGCCCTGAAAACTCCATGTTACCTTCTTTTGGACCTCAATCTCCTTTTTGGGGGGTAAACAGATGCTTACATAGGCTGCTTCTTGGAGGAAAGGCGTCCGTAGAGTTTCCCTTGGAATTCCCCTCAAATTTTCCGGGATTCCCCGAATTCCCTGGGATTTTTCCCGGGATTTCTCTCGATATTCCCCCGGGTTTCCCCAAATTCCCCGGGATGTTTTGCGGTTTTTCTCGAGTTTCCCGGGTTTCCCTGATTTTTCCCGAATTTTCCTAGGTTTCGCCGGGTGTTTTCGGGTTTTGCCCCGCAGGCCCGGGTCACTTCTTCGGGCTCCAAAAGCCATCCGCCCGCGTCGCGGCTTCGAAGGCGCAGGAGCTGCTGCTGACGCAGCTGGTGGCCGGGTCCCTCGCTGCGGAGCCCAGGCCTCGGGTTCAGCGCCGCGGGTCGCAGTGGGGCGACACCAAATTTGGCGGCGGCACTTCCCGGGTGTTCCGCTTCGGGCGGTGAAGATGGGGCGGCACCAAAGCACTTCCTGAGTTCCGAAGTTCGGACTTGAGAGTTCACCTGTGGGTTTTTTGTCACCAGTTTAGTGGAAAGTAGCAAGTGTTAGGGTTAGGTCAGGGTTGTGGTTGATCGCAAGGGGTTTTACGCATTTCGGACTTTATTGGTCACCTTTGGGGGGTGTTCTCGCCATTTTTGGGGCGAAAATTGAAAGTTTTTGGGTGGGTTCGTGGTTGTGGTTGATCCCTGGAAGTTTTCTGAATTTCGGACGAAAGGTCACCTTTGGGACTTGTCACCATTTGTTGGGCGAACAATATGAAGTTTTGGGGTGGGTTCGGGGTTGTGGTTGATCGCAAGGGGTTTATCCAACCACTGTGATACTCTTGGGAATCTCCCCTGTATATGGGGGGGTTGGTCGAAAGAGAAGCCCTTTTTGTTGCACAGAAGTGGTCATTTTCCACAGCCCGACGGTCAAAATGCAAAGTTGAGGAATATGTTTGGGGACAGTGAACAGTTCCTCAAGTTCCATCAGGCGGTCAAACGCTGGACATTTAGGTTTTTTTGGATGGACACATGAAACAGTCCCTCAATGTCCTTTGTTTGGGCGGTCAAGAATGGACATTGATGGATTTGTTTAGGGATTTCTCCGGTGAAACAGTCCCTGATGTTCCTTCAGTCAAACAATGCAAATTGGGGGATCTTTGGAGAGACATACGGTGAAACAGTCCTTTAATTTTCTTTCTTTGGACTGTCGCAACATAGAAACTCAGGGACACTGGAGTGTAGTGGGTGGTTTCCCCGTATGGTCAATCCCACAACTGGGGTCTCCTCCAAAAGCACATGACAATCTATGTAGAAGAGGCAACATCTGCAGCAGAGACAGAACATGTTCTGTGTGTCTGTGTGTGTCTCCCGTTTTGTGTTTTTGTCTCGAATGTGTCACCGCGGGGCAGGTGAGTTCTCCCTTCGCATGTTGGCCAACGGACGTTTCCAAGGTCTTGTGTGGACCCGCAATTTGATGGAAACGGTGTTTGTCACAGCCCTGCTGCGGAAAATTCGGGAGGGCCACGTCAATATAGACGATGCAGCCCGCGCTTGCTTCGGAGCAAATCCACCCGACAAACACCGGGATTCTGCAGCGTTTATGGCACCCTTGACCGAAGAGCTGTTCCAAGTTTTGAAGCAGAAGGCCCCGCCCGTTTCCCCCGAAGCCGAAGACGAGCTTCACAGGGCCAAAGCCAAATTGGCGGCAGCAGGCCTCAGCCTCACTCCCACTAAGAGGCAACCCGAAGGGAACCCCGATGTACCCTCCTCCAGTGCTCGCTCTGCGAAGCGAGCGAAAACGGATGTTGATCCCACCAATGCTGTTCCTCCGGCGCATGAAAATCCGGATGTAGCCAAGCTACTGCAGGACCCTCCCGTTCGGCAAATCTTGACTCAGCCCAAAGGCGGAGGGGATGAAGACGTCGTTGCCTGGCTTGACGCCTACAAGCCGATGTTTAAAGGCAACTGGCGCCAATTCAAAAAGCATCTCCAGACAGTGCAAGACCTTTTGAAGAAGCACTGCAGCCGCGCCGAACTCGTAGAAGCAGCTATCAAGTTTGGACTGGACCAGAAAATGGCTTCCAAGCTCAACATTCGGAATCTTTCAGCAGTCATCCACGCCGCTCAATATGTGGCAGCCTGACTAGCTGTGTTGACGGAGAAGTTACCCCTCAATCGCCGGTATACCGTTTTTCAAGACACCTTGGAGCTAGGTGCAGCCTGCACGTTTTTTAAACACCACTGTGCAGCCGTCATCAAGGCACCCATTGTTTGGGCTCAAGGACTACTTCATTTATGCCTTATTTTTTATCACCAGTCCCAGAACAGCCGCGTCGGCAGTTCGTCTTTTGGCCACACCATGCAACTCCGTTTTCAGTCGTTGGGAGTCAACCCCATGACTTACACGTGGCCGTGGTTTCAATCCCCCAACGCAGTGTACGTCAAGCTCGAGGTTGATTGGCGCCTTTTTAAGAACAATGAAATATACCGGCAGCCATCCCCGAAGCTTTACATCGGATCTACTTCCATTTCTGCGTCCTTGCGCGAAAGCAATCGTATGTCCGTGTTTAACAAACTGAATCGGAATGAAGAAGCACAGGCAGAACTGGCCGTCCGATATTGGCAATCACAAGGCAATTTTGAGCGCTTTTCCATCATAGTGCTTGCCACGTTTCACTCTTATCGAGCCGCTTGGATCTCCGAGCATTGTTTCATTGATGCTTGGCAACCCACTTTAAATTACCCATTCATTCTGACACGTTTGCAACGCACTGCGCTTGGGTTCCGACCCACAAAGAAAAGGAGACGCCTGACTGAATGTTCAACACATGGTCTCCGGTTATGGCGCAAACTTAGGAAGCGACTTTTTTATTCCAGCCAACCCGCTGCCTTCTCAATACGAAGAAAGCAAGCGTGGGAAATCTTGTTTGATGTAGCTAGCCACACACTTGCTAGCTTCCGTGCCTGTACAGTACTTCGGTCCTCTCGGTATGTCAATGATGAAGTGTACGCAGTCATCAGGCTTAGACTGACTCTGGAAGAGCCTTTACGCTCTCGCACCCGGCAACTGCTGAAACAAGTTGCCAATTATAGGCAGATGACCTGGCCTTCCAATGCTGGAACCCTTTCTCTTCAGCCCATGGCTCACCGATCCTTTTCTCGAGAAATTCGGGAGTGGCTGAAAAGTCAGATCCGCCGTTACAGACACATTTTGGTGCCTTTTCACTTGCCCAGTACTCAAATTCGAGAAGCGCCCCACCGTTCCCTTCTCAAATGTTTACATAACACGTCAGCGTGGGATGAATGGCTCTGCTGGCATTCCCTTGCTGATCTACCATGCTGCTGTGATGGATCTATTTTCGCTGACGCGACCTGTATGATCGACGGACAAACTGTAGCGCCACCTCCACGGTATTCCCAGGCAAAACACACTTTTTTCGTCGCAACCTGATCGTTTTTTCCAAGTGGCGGAAGAAACAATCCTTGCCACCGAGCGTTGAGACGGAATTTGAACAGCTACTTCTTCAACAGTGGAAGCTTCACTACGAATCTCTCATTTTTGAGCCCCGACTGATTTGGCAAGACGTCCAAAAGACGCGCAATTTGCTTGACTTTCGGGTGGTGATTCACAATGAAGACCACCACAATTCACATTTGATGATTTACTGCCCGCGATTCTATTATGAGTCAGTATTCCGCACATGGGACGACCCCGATGTTTTCCAACCACTGGAAGGATCCCCCGAGGAGTGGCAGCGCTGGGTCACGTATCAAGTCCCATCCTCCCTCGCCACGCGGTACCACTGGGGCTTCACGTGGGGAGCTCAGCTCCCCCGTGGGTTTGTTTTCTTGAAGCGGAAGAAACGCTTCAAGAAGGGCCGCACGATAATATCCTACAGCAACTCTTTAATGAAGAAGCTCCTCAAAGCGGCATCTCAGGTCATTTCTTTGCTTCTTCAAACCGTTTGGGTTGACGGACTTGGAATGTACAGTCTTCCTCGTTTATGGCAGGAACTACATCAATTTCTGCGGACTACGCATCCTTCTGTGCACCTTTTCGAGGCAAACGATGACCTTATTGGGTTCTTTAATTCTGTTCCGAGGGCAGACATCCTGCAAGCACTTCGCCAACTTCTTGCAGATTATGGCGCAACTCACGAATTTCTGCACGTCAGCACGACTCTCTCCCGGACCGCTAAACATGACAAAGCTCTGCCAGGCAAGCCCCGAGGCGGCTCCAACGCCCACGCAAAGAGCGTGCGTTTGAGCGACGTCCCCAAGATCGTTGAACTGTCTTTTGAGCTTGGGATATTTCAAACAGCAGGCCGAGTTTACAGGCAAATCCGAGGGACCTGTATAGGAAACCAGATAAGCCCTGTCCTTTCCAGCTTGCCAGTCATTCTTAAAGAACGAACCTGGCTTAAGTCTTGGCACACCCAGGGCTTTTTTCAGAAGTTTCTTCAAGAGACCCGTCAAGTTTTGTTGTTCCGCTATGCGGACAACCGGTTAATCTTGGCCAGTCATGAAGCTATGTCTCACCCTGTCATGAAAGAATTTCTGCAGCCGTCCTTTTATGGAGGGTCTATAGAACTTGAATCCGTGCAGGATCACAAATGGCTTGGATTCCAGATTTGTGCCCATGATCGCTCAGCCATGTTCGTTTTGCCGGATAAGCCGTGGATGATCAAACATCCGCAGAGCGCCGGGTCTTGGAGACTTATGCTTAGTAGCTACAACTCCCGAAAAGCATTAATTCGCAAATATGCCTGGCCGCCAGCAGCCAAGGCTTCCCAGTTGCATGCGCTCCGTCAACTGTATATAGACAAGGGGTATCCGTCCGCTCTTTTGCTTTAACCAGATGCTTGCAACATGCCGACCAAACCAGTGCTTCGCGTGAATTAGGCGAGGTCTGTGTCGAGAACAATTCTGCGCCGGCATCGTTGAAAGGCAACCATATATTTCTGATGAACTTGGTTTCACACCTGCGCATTCCGTTCCGTGCCAACATAATCTGGAGACCTCTTGCCTCTCTGATCTTTTGCTCTCTGGAGTCTTTTGGCCCGAGACCTGGTGTTCCTAGGCCGTGTATCTAAGCACACGGAATCCCGCCATGACAACCTATGTGTTTCAGTTCTTTGCAGATAGCAGAGCTACAGCGAATTCCTCGCCAGCTCAGCAGTGGTCACTAATTCGTCCTGCATGCCACGAGCCAAGCCTTCTTACCGTGCACGCGCCCGATCCGAATAGGCCTTCCCACCGTGTCTTGGAAGCGCCGCCAGGATTTTTTGACCCCCCCGAGCAGCAGTCTCAACCTGATGCTCGTCAGGACAGACCGCAGACTCGTCAACGGGACAAATCACGATCCCGTCGACGTTCCCGTTCCCGGAATCAAGTGCGCAAGCACAGAGATCGAACCTCTCGCGAGCGCAGGGGTAGGGGTCGGCGTGACGATCGCCACGCCAAGCGATACAGAAAGCGTTCCAGGCAAGGCAGGTGTCGGAGTCGAAGCCTCCCTCGCCAACCAACGCTGCCGCCAAACACCCCGGAACCCCCTGGGCACCCTGGGCACCCTAGGCACCCTGGGCACCCTGCGACCCCTCATCAAGCTGCAGCGCGAAATGATTTACTTGCATTTCCTCCCGGGCGGTTTGATGTCCCACAGCGACCACATCCCGCGCCGATCCAATCTCACACGCCATGGCTTACTAGCAGGGGTCAGCCGCCTCAGTCGATTTTTTTCAAAAACCGACCGGCTCAGCCTCCGGCATCTGGTTCCAAGACTAGTGCCCTAGGCTACGGACCTCTTTACTACCATGCTCCACATAGAGCAACCCCGCTAGTCACTGCAAATGATAAGAGACCGCGCACACCCGAAAGAAAGACGGCTGCTCAAAACCGGCAGCCCGTTTCCTGCGCGCAGCCTGCCAAGCGGGTCACGCGACATGAAGCCTGGTCTTCTCACGAATTCCGCCCTGGTACACCGGTCCTTGAGAAGGACACTACTCCGAAACATCCCGAGGCAGCAGGGTCAAAACCTGATGCCAACCTCGTTGTTCGAACCTCAGTTGAAAATCGGGAGTCGGAATTCACCGCGAGTGGTCTCATTGTGCCTGGCCAGACGTTCGTTGATCAGACAGTCCAAGACTGGCTTCAACGCATTCTTCGACGACAGGCAGATAACATGCTCTCCCCGCACTGGCTGTTCCCGTTGACGATTCAAGACGTCGTGGAACACCAGCGCCGAAAGGCCACCTTTCAGCCGTGTCCCGCCGTCAAGTGTGGAACAATGCGTTCGGCACCTTTTAGTCTTGGCGCCCGTAGCACCAGAGGACCCGGTCAATGGTGTTCCGATCTCAACCGTGCATGTTTTGGCCAGCGCGATCATTGCTTCGGAAATGCCGTACACCCAGATTTTTAACCAGCGTGCGGTAGCAGCTACAGCCACTACCGGCACCGCTGTTTGGCTGTACCCGTCCCAAGCTTTTCCCGGAGTCAATCAAGACCGTGTAGCTGGCGAGTATTCCATGCGGTTTGTTCATTTTTCTTCTCAGCTAGGCCTAGCGCTTGACTCTGAAAGTGAGTCCCAGGTCGGCAGGAAATGCCCATTAGGTTTTTTCTGTAGAGTCTCGACCGAGTGCTACCATGAGCGGAGTATCCTTGACTTTTTGCTTGCGTGCTCGGAGCACCCCAAAAACACCACCAATGTGGGAGTAACGGGGACTGTGTCCGGCACTCATTACAAGTTCAACCGAGGGGATACCTGGAAGGAACAAGCTCTTGCCTATTCTTACCCCGCAGTGCGTAGTGGCAGCAAAGACAAACGATGGTGTGTGCGCAGCGATTTGGCTGCCATCGACGGAGTGTTCCTAGTGCAAGATCACTCAGACAACTGGGGCACCAAGTGGTTGCCCCAGCCACTGCGCCCATCAGTTGCCATACAATCCTGACTAATCCTTGGTCGCTGATATCCAGCGGCGAATAATTCAGATTCGTGATTCGGGGTGTTGCATGGCATGGCCTTGTCGCATCAGCTATTGCACCTGACCTTTTAATCCGTTCCGGCATGTTCGCATGATAAGCATCTTGACAGCGTTGCAAAAAATGCCCTGTACGTCGGTGTGATGTTCTGATCGTAGTCAATTTTGTGACCACGTGCCATCGTGCCATGTTCGCTGTACAGCATGGGCACTACCACGTTTGCTTTTTTGTTCTGCTTTCGGCTCGAATCCAAGCTTTTGGTTTCCTGTGCCTTTAATCTCAGAAGTCGCAAATTCCAGACCGTTTGAGCCTTCAGGCCACCCAGGTTGGCGAGACGTCACGCAATCTCGGAGTGTGGTTGGGTTTCGTGGGGAGCCTGGCCTGCCTCCCCTCCGGCTGCACGTGGTCATACGCCGCGCCAGGGGGGCAGGGCACAGGAAGGAATCCCTGGGTGGATTCCCCGCCTGTGTTTCTTGGTTTTCTTGGTTTTCTTGGGGCGTTCCTTTGTTTGGCCTCCAGCCGCACGTGGTTACACGCCGCATTGGCCAGGGGGGTAGGGCACAGGAAGGAATCCCTGCGTGTCGCTGGGCTTCTTTGTTTTCTTTCTTTGGTTTTCTTGGGGTTTTCCTTTGTTTTTGCCTGGCCTGCCTCCCTCCAGCCGCACGTGGTTGTTCGCCGCAATGGCTTGGGGGGCAGGGCACAGGAAGGAATCCCTGGGTGTGGTTGGGTCCCTCTCGGGCTTCTTGGTTTTCTTGGGGCTTGGTCTGGCCTTGGACGCCGCAATGGCCAGGGGACTAGGTGAGGAAGGAATTCCTGGGCGTGATTGGATTCCCTGCCGGAGTTTCCGTGGAGCGCAAAGACCTTTGCAGTGTTGAACGCTTCCGTGCCGAGCACTCGGATTTTTCAGCGGTTTCGGATGTACTTTGCCTCGGCGAACCATGATCTGAGTTGCATATGCCCCATATATTTGAGGACCGACAACACGGTCCCTCTCTCTCTTTTTGGTTTTTTCCGGCTACCTTTTGAAGGAACCCTCCCACCGAACAATTGGCGGCTTTGGTGTTCACCGCAGTTTCATCCAACAAAGAGGGATGCTATACCTCTCGCCCCTGATCCCCACGCCGGTTCCCTGAGCTCGCGAGCTCTTGCCCGAAGAGCCAGATGCCTGTGTTGGTACCCAGTCATCAAAGGCTTTTCTGTTATTGCGCTTTAACGTGCAGAGTCGCCCGTTGGGCTGGCTGTGTGTGTCCAACCCTGTCACTAAGGGCCTCTCGTGTTTTTTGCCGCAGCGGTCTGGAATGGCTGCACCAGGCTGCTTAATGCGCCAGGCGCATTTACCATTTGAACTAGCGCTTTTCACGCGCCAGACCAATGCCCAATCTGGGGCAAACGGGTAGATTAGCTAGCCTGCGCAATTTTTCCAATCAGACGAAGCATGACACGCAGGGGGCCAGAGCCCGGCTCAGGGGACTCTGGCCAACGAAGACGCCCCTGAGCCGGGGTGAAAACGTACCTGCTTGTCACGGACAGGCATGGGCGCAGTTGACGCAGCTTGCTGTCCCATTTGAACTTTTTGGCGCTGTTTGCGTTTAGAGCCCCTTTGCTACAAACCTTGCTCCGATTAATTCAGTTTCATTACTCCGATGTCTCACCATTTTCCCGTTTAGCCATTGCGGCTTATGATCCTGCACCCTCGACTGTAACTAGATCAACAAGCCACGAGCACACGCATAGGAGAGCCGAAGCATAAATCAAAGAGGGGGGATTACCACAAGTGTCTCCCGTTTTGTGTTTTTGTCTCGAATGCTGTGGGGTACTTGAGAACCAACGTTATTTGATTATCAAAACTGCAGGAAGGCATTGCTCTAGATGCATGGCGCCATGGCAGCACTTGAGTCGTTTCGACGACCATGCAATTATTCTGGCCCGTGGTTTTCTTAATGAAGTTTAATATCAAACAGTTTGGGTTTTCCTGATTTGCAGAAGCTCTAACGAGCTCACCAATTCAGGGGCAAGAACGAGCTCATGTTCAAGGTACCTTACTTGTGGATGTCCTACTTCCCCCCCATTCCCCGCGCCTTCCGTTTCCCCGAAGGCCTAAGCAATAGCACATTTTCTCAGGTGATGTTACTTGGACGTTTGTTGCCGAGTTAGTAAGTGGTTAGCCACCTAGCTTACAACCCACGAACAGGATTAACTCCACTGAACAGGGGAACTTGTATGTGGGTTACAAACCAAGGTTACCACCTTACTAGCTTGGCAACTAAAAAAACACCCAAGGAGGGGTCAGACTTTCCGGCGGGCTCCGGGCGCTTCCGAGGTCGGTGAATACAACCTCCGTGGCCACTATTATCAATATCGTGGCCATGAGCTCAGCTGGACCGTGAGCAAGAGCCCCCAGCCTGGGGGAGGTCGAAGGGCCTTTGAGCCTAAGGGGGCTGAATGAATGGTTGATCACTCCAGCCCCAAGTGGCCATGGGCCATGGAAATGACTTTTCCCATTCGGATGTTGTGGTGTTGGTTCTCCCCCGAGGGGCTTCGGAAAGAACTGTTGATCAGCCCCCAATCGCACATTATGATGCCATCTGGTTCAACAGCAACCGACCCAAGTCTCATGGATCTTCAAAGGGTGCTCTGGGGAAGGGGGGCAACCAAACCGTGCCTGTGTTTCCCCGTACGCCACTGGGGTGCTGCGGTCCCGGTTCTGGTCCCAACGTCTCCCGTAACAGTAGAAAGGCTCTTTCCATTCAGACGCGCTGTGTGTGGTCTTTTGAGGCCGAACAAGGGCCCTGGTCAAAAAGGATGCCAATCATTTCAAGGGTCCGACTTTGAGATATCCAGGCTGGATTGTTTTTTTGAAGTGGCCAAGTTCTTTGTAGTGTAGTGTCCCTGAAAAGGTGGAAGGCGGCCTGATGGGTGCAAAACAGGGACATCATTTTGACAGCCTGATGGAACTCTCCAAGCCTGAAAGAATTGATTTGCGTATGTACTAATATGTATATATGTATATATATATATATGTCACTCGCGTGGGCCTGTGGCCCGCAATGAGGTCTTGGTGATGCTGGTCCTCTTACTGGTCCGCCGCTCAGGTTTTCTGATTGCACACCCGAAGCTCAAAGTGGTTTGAAGCGAGGTCGGTTCAATCATCCTGTTCAATCCATTGCCTTGGATTTGGAAACTCAAAATTGGTGGGTTTCCCTTTTCCCTTGAGAGAAAAAACGGGAAACAAAAACCATCCGAACAGGGGTACCGCGCTTCTAAAGAAAGACACTCCACGACAAGTTTAACCCACTCTCCTGAGTCTCCACGACCCTTTGAACATGGGGCAATGTTCCCAGAATTGTGGGGGTACTGGCTCCTTTTGTTTTATCAATCAGACTTCGGGTATCATTTTGACACGTTTCAACTTCCACTTTATTTTCCCCAGTGGGCCATCTTCAGATGGTGGTTTTGGATCTGTCCTAAATCGGACATTGGACCACCTGTATACCCAGATAGTTCGGCGCAGTTTTGGGCGGGCTGGCGGGGGGGGGAGGGGGGGGGCGACAAAAGCTCATCATGATGTTGGTCCTTTTCTCGGGGATCCGGCTTTTCTTCGGGTTTTGGAAGTATTGCAAAACCATGCATGTGCACACGCAGTAATTTAGGCATTTCGGAAGGGTCAAAACAAGACTGGTGCTTGGCGTCTGTGAGATGCCTCTTGTCAAGGGTGGTTCCCGCTACAAGGCATCACTCCTGCGAAGACGACCTGACACTGTGGATTCCGCGAACTGTCAAACAGTTAAGCATGTTCCAGGTGTTTGAGGGAGTTACAGTACTCTGAAGCCTACGCAGGTTAAAGGCTAGGTCCCCCAGTAGTGCCCTTTTACCCTTGTTGGGCAGAGGGTTCCCCTACTAAAATAGACTACAGAAAAAGGGGTACCCTTATTCTAACCTCTCAACTGGACCTAGAATGGAATCAGGCTACACATGGAATCATTAGGTCCCCACTAGGCCTATGAAGGGCTGGCCTCAGAGCCCCAGCCCGCTGGTGCTTTGGGGCCCAAACCGAATCCTTGGTCATCCTGTAGCGACGTGGCTAACATGTTCGACGCTGAATGGGGACCCATTGCTTTCTTCCCGGGTGAATTATGATGAGATGGCCCTTTGTAAGCCCAGTGCTTCCGGTTTGTAGGTACCCAAACAATATGAAGAGGTAAGCCCGAAGGGTAAATAGAATTCTGAGTCCCAGAGTTCAAGGTCCTGGACCTCAATCTTGGGAAGACCATCATGTTAGTGGGAATGAACAGCTTTGGAAGTTTTTGTTGGCTTCAAACACCAATGTGGGACCGATTTGTTTGGTGAGTTCCCTGCTGGGGTGCTGTTTCTAGAGGAAAAAACATGAAGGAACGCTTGGTAGAACCCAAACGGTCTGGAGCTGAAGCCCAGTTCTTCCTGTGCCGCAACAACATGAACCTCGAGGCGGCGGCGGCCGAGGCGCGGTTACTCGCTCGCTCCAAAGGAGTCGGCGTGAGTGTAGATCACATGGTTGTGGTTGGGGTTGGGTGGACGGAAGCCTTAGACAATCATACGGGGTATTACCTATTGATGGTTGTGGTTGGGAAACTTGTTTTTACATCTTTGCTTATTGTGGTTTGGTGGTTGAAATCCAACCAATTGACTGTTTTTGTTCTCCTTTTTTTGCTCCCCTTCCAACGTCAACCAAGATCAGGTCTGACAGTTGGTAGAGCGCAGATGGCCAGGGGAACCTAAACTGTATCCATCATGAAGGCTGTTTTGAGAGAGGAGATGGTGTGTCGGAGCTCGCAACTCGGCGCGAGCTCCGGTGTACAGACCAAAATTTGTCACAAGTGCCCGGGGGGCTAACAATCGAAGTAAGCGTGTTTGGTCGTGTTCCTTTGGTTTCCCTTCAAAGCTACAAAGAAGGCGTCCCCCCAAAAGGACAGATCCAGTTCAACCCAGCCCAAAAGGGCCATTTGAGTAGGTAGCTCTGTTCCTGGCTGGCTTAATACGGATTAGAGTATGGCCCTCCTTCAAACCTGGATCATTTTTACTAGAACCCAAAGTGTACAGGTTTAGGGCGCTCACTTGGAATTGTTTTTCAAGTACAGATCGAGGCATCTCCGAAACGGTTGGTGTCCTTTTGGCTTGACTCCAAAACCCATCTCCCCAAAAAACTCACAGCCACTTCAAGGCGGCCATTCAGCGGATAATTTCCTGAGCTTACCAATTAGATTCAGTTGTTCTGGGACTCGATGTTTGGGAAGACCATCGTAGTCGTGCGCTCAAGCAGTTTGCACTTTGGCCAATCCGCACACAGAGTGATCCCATTTTGCTGACATGGGGGCCAACTGGCTGGCTCCTATTTGTATGTGTATTGCGCCTTGTAACCAATGGAACCACACAAACAAAAAGATTCAAGAGGAGACTGGCTGGCTGGCTGCCTGCTAGGCTTGAAACACTGGATCGAATCCACGCGTCGGAAGTGAAACGACACCGCCCAAAAGCCGAGCTTCCGGGGGAGGCCAAGGCGGACTCGGAGAAGCTCTACGAGCAGTTCGAATCAGCGAGGGACCCCAGGTCCGCATGTGGCTTTTTGTAGCTGCTATGAGTTTCAATATCAGGAACGCCCTAAGTTGGTGAAAGCTCCGAGTTTCTGCCTGGACGACCGCCCTGGGCTTCAATCGGCTCCCGAGAAAGCAACGGAAAGGACCCGTTTAGATGATGAAACTTCTGGGGCAAACCATGGCGGTTATATTTGTCAAAATAGGGGACCCCCAAAATGCATGTTTTTCCTTTGGGGTTCGACTGAACTAACCCGAAGCAAGGATACTGGTAGATTCTGGTTGTGCATTTGTTCCTCGTGAAGGGGGCACTTGTTCAGTGGATTTCACCCTTTTGCAAATTGGTGGGTTCCCCCACTGAAATAATGTGAACTCCCAAAAAGGGGTTCGCTTCTACGACCCACAAGATTTCAAGAGGGCTGGGTGTTTTAATGTGCGAATTGGTTCCGACCGCTTGCGCCTTAAATGACAATCACGTGTGTAACATCCTTAGAACTTACTGAACGGTAGCACTGTTCCTACGGGAAACCTTTCCTTGTGGGCGACTTTGGTTTCCTCCTGACAACGGGCAACTCAGGCGCTTTTGTTGGGTTCAGCTCAGGGTTCTCTATATGTCAGGTGGCCTTAAACATCTCGCTGGCCAATTTAAAGTGAGAGGAGAAATGTCCAGCGCCCCGATTCATGTCTTCGGGTCTGAAGCCTTGGCCCAGGGCCTGCTTGATGCCTAGGGTGGATACCAAGGACACGACTCTCGGCACCCTTCTGAGGTCCAGTCAGAAACTTAGCCAAAAGAAGGCGGTGAGCCGTGGAACAAAAAAGGTTTTCCGAACATACCAGCAACAAACAAGTTGCTGGTATTTGAAGGAGGGGGGATTGGCCATTTTTGCGGGACATGAGGGAACTCACAAGAACTCCAAACTAGGGAACACGCCCTCACCTTTCTCTTGTCAATGGGATCGCAGTTTTGATAGTGGCTCACATGACCAGGGGGCATACCCTTTCTAAAGCAGGGTCCCTTCAAGGATCTTGTAGCAACCAGCTGCACCAGCGTCAAAAGGTTAGAGGTCGGTGACTTCAGGCCACCGCATCCAGACAGACTCGATGCCAGCAGGCTGGGTTTTTTTGACCCTCACTGGAGTCGGACTTGGGTCAATGGACGCGCGGTTCCTGTCGCAAACACTAGGTCCCCCAGTAGTGCCCTTCTACTCGTTATTGGGCGACGGTTCCCCTACTAAATTAGACTACAAAGAAAAGTTGGTACCCTTATTCTAACCTCTCTACTGAAGGACCTGGAACACGATGTTTTTTGTTTTTTTTTGTTTCCCCCCGATCCAGGGAGTTGCGATCTTGTTCTAGGTTGAACTTCCAAGCCTAGACTATTGCCCCCCCCCCCAAGGCTCATGACTACTGCCTGGGCCTTCAAAAAGAAGCTTACTAAAAGGGTCCATGAGCGTCTGGGTTGGATTGGGCAAAATTAGAACCTTTCTTTTGGTTCCTTTTGGTTGCCCTTGAACAGACTTGGATCTGAAAACCGATGGTTGCATGCCAAGCTTTCTTAGAGGCTGCCTTGCTGGGGTTCGCTCAATGTTGACCCTTTTTTTCTGTGTATATATATATGTACATAATGATATTATTTGTTTGTCTTGTGGAAATATGTTTTTTGAACCATATATATATATATATGTCTGGACTCATTGTCTTTGGAAGGCTGTTTTTTGGTGGGTTTTCTGTAGACTGTTTTGTGTTGGTGGGGGATGGGGGGTGCACATGGGTCTGTCTTTGTTTGAGGCCACACCTTTGTCTATTGTTGGGTTGACAAAAAAAAACACCATATTGCAATCTTATATCAAGGACACCTCCCAAAGCATGTGGCTGTGCCGCTGGAGATGACGTGGCTGGTGAGTGTTGCTTTGGGGTCCCTTTGCTGGCGCAACACATGAGCAGCTCTAGGTTTAGGCTTGAACATGCACCAAGAAACAACCAGTTGGTTCAGGAGCTCACGCATTCAAGGGTCAAGCAAGCAAATTCACCCATGATGCAGGCCATTTTTTAACAATAGTGTCCCGTAATTCTGGCCTGGGGAGTTTAAGTTTGGATGGCTTACAAGGTTCACTCCCTTAATCCCTGCTGGGCACCGGCACCAGCAAGTTGTTTCTGATCTTCAACGGGTGTTTCGTTTTGTGCCCTTTCCGGGCTGGTGACAAACCCCCAGATCCGGACTGATGATTTGAGCAGGCCGGTGAAGTGTCCCGGAGTCTTTCTGGCAGATCATTTCTTTGAGGGCGTCCTCGTCTGAAAGTAACCGTTTTGGGGTATTTTTTCAAGTGTAACCAGGACAACCATAAATTTGGGCGGGGGTCCACCAAAAATGACACAACCATTTGGCATGTTGATTGCTGAAAGAGCCATAACTCGAAGCCACCAACGTTCAACCCTAAATTAGGTCTCACCCCGTGGGTGAATGATCCCGTGTTCATGGTTCATCGCTATCCTTCGCCGATACGCCAATCAGACTCAGGTAGTTGTCACTGGTACAGATTTTTGTTCTCTTTGTGAGCGATTGCCCTCCGTGTTGGAAGGCAGGGAAACCAACTAGCAGGGATACAGGGGGAACCAGGGATACTGGAGGATTCCCCCCAAATGCACCTTGACCAAGTTTGATATGGGTATGGGTCAAAATTAAACCACCAGGAATTGGACCGCAGGTTTTGGTCCATTCCCTTTACCGGGGCAAGCCATTTTGAGTACCTATTTTTGACCCACAGCCACATGGCGCCAATCCCCCCACATCCCCGCTCCCTCCGTGTCCCTGCGGAAGCTTGTTTTGAAAGGTTTGCGCCTGAGATTCCACAGGGCTCCTTAAAAGAAATTCATCTTGCAACCATTTGAAACCCGTTGCTTTTTCAACACCAACATAAAGTTGGAAACCACCATTTACAAGTTGCAATGTTCAGGTGTATAATGTAAGGATCCCTGTTCCACCAGCAACCGTGGGCCCCATTAGCGACTGCTCACTCATAGAAGCGGAGGGCTCTGAGGAGAGGAGACCACGGCCGCTCTGGAGACCCGGGCAGAATCCCCGCAGCTTCATGGGGAGAAGACACAAGTTTCATCCTAGTGGCTTGATTATTGTTTGGTGCCCTCTGTTAGTTTCCACCTGGGGAACCTTGCGGGGAGCAACACGGGTGTTTTTTTTTCCCCCCCTGAGCGTCCCCCTTTCTTGTGGTTTTAAGGAACACAAGAAGACCAGCGTCTTGCGGGGGCCCGACCTTACAACAGACACATTAAATGGACTTAGGGCGCCCCTAGACCCGGGCCTTTCTCCGCAGGTCTGCTGCTGAGGTCGGCGAAAGCCAGGCTCTTGCCTCGCTGGCGAGTCCAGTTGAGGTCTCGGGTAGCGCCTAAAGACCCAACAGAGCCACACCCCAAGAAAGGCACGTCAGAAGTTTGGAGGAAATCTCATCACGGAAGTTGGAGGTTCCAGGTTGATACTTTGTGACGAAAGATCGAATCTCGTTTCTCTCCGGTTCTGGCGCGACCTTTGGCGCCATCTTACATGTCCTTTTCAACAATGACGGAATTGATTCAAAAGCTTGGCTTCGGGTTGAACCTTAGCCGTTGCCACGGGGCTTCAAAGGGTAGCCTTGGAACATAAAAGCCCTTTCAGGGGGTGGCTGTGCTGATGTGTGGAGTCCCCACAATTCCTTCTCGGTGATTCCACCGTGTATTGGCCACTAAGTATTGCATCCAGGTTTTACCACGGATGGTTTCTGTTGGTTATAGTACGCCTGGAGGCACTGGGCTTGAATGCACTCGGATGTGGGGTGTATTGAAATGACCGCCCAAAAGGCCATCTTAGGCGGTTCGCTTCCCATGGGCTTGTGCCATTTTAGTACCCAATGGGTTTTGGACACTCGAATGCTGTGGCAAGGTTTACCTCAGGGTTCACTACCTTTGGACCAGGATCGGCTTGCATCAGCCATATGATGTTTTGGTTGAAAAGCAGAAGCTGAGGTTTGGGGGAAGCATGGCAATCATCTTGCTTATTAGGCTTGAAGGTTGATGAAAAGAATGGCCTTGGGACAAACTTAGATGACACTTAGGCAAACACTGGTTTTCTTGAGTGAAACACCAAAGAAACCCTTGGTTCCTTGAGTGAAAAACAAAAACGGACTCGTGTTTTCTTTTGGTTTCGGAATGAAGACCAAAAAACAACACGCCTTTCTTCACCCATTGCTTCTGCATTGCCAGGTTGAACCCCAGGGTCTGGCAATCGATACCCAGACCTGAGAAACCTGCACCAGATTTGTGCAGATCGTTCCAAGGCCGCTCCGAGCCTCGAAACAAAGGGTCCGACCTCCATGGGTCGCAGCTTGGTTTGTTTCCTTTGGCTCTTTTTCATGGGTTCATGTTTTGTGGATTTGCAGGGTCCTTTCTGTTCAGTCTCCTTTGTTTCCTCTTAAATTCCAGGGGCCAATTGTCCGCTTGTGCCGATTGATTCGGTCGAATGGGAGCACCCATGTTAACGACGCCTCTCGCGGTGCACGTCGGAGTAAGCAACGGCCTGCATCCCATGTGGTTGAAAAGCGCGTTGGGACTGGAGCAGCGTGACTGTAGCCACGCAGGAGCGTCGCAAAAATGAGGTAACTTGCCCATGTTTGAACTTTTGGGTCCCACGCTTTTTCCAGAACAAACAACGGGACAAGGACTGTTGTTTGACAAGAATAGTTGACAGAATGGGCAGTCAAGATCAGGGCGACTATAGTCGACCCACCTGAGCCGACCCGCCCGGGGGTGGGCCAAGGCGGGGGGAATGGGGAGGAGGAGGAAGAGGGGCCGGGGGAGGCGGGGGGGGGGGGGGCGGGAGGAAAGAGATTTTGAGCAGGTGTGTCATTGTTTTGAGAGCCGACCCAAAATCACTCGAGGGCAATAGGGGAGGAGAGGGGGGCAGGAGGGAAAACAGAATTTTGAGCAGGTGGGTCGGCTCACTTTTCCGCCACTGTTTTGAGAGCCGACAAAATGTTTTCTCCCTTCGGGGAGGGGGGGGCGAAGGGGGGGGGGGAGGAGAGGGGGTGGAAAAATAAGAGATTTTGAGTAGGTGGGTCGGCTCACTTTTGCGTGGCAGGGCCACTGTTTTGAGAGCCGACGAAATGTTTTGTTTCCCCTCGGGGGGGGCGAGGGGAGGGGGGAAGAGGGGGCCGAGGAAAAACATATTTTGAGCAGGTGGGTCAGCTCACTTTTCCGTTTTGATAGCCGACCCACCTGCTCAAAATCACTCGAAATCTCCTTTCCCCTCCCCTCCCTCCCCATCTCCCCCCCCCCCCCGGCCGCCTCTCCTCCCCACCCTTCCCTGCCAGGGAGGTGGTCCATTTAGCCAGTGGAGGGAAAGCTCTCCAACAAAGAGAGGGGGCGTTTTCATGCAAATTCCAATGACACACATTGACCTATAATGTAAGCAAAGTCCAGTGAGTGGATTCGAGTGGATTCGAGCAAATCTGTAAAAATGGTATTGAGCTGGTGGGTCGGCTCAGGTGGGTCAGCCCTTGTCCCCCTGATCAAGACCTTTTTGGGGTGCGGAGAATTGTGGGACAGCATTCTGTAAAGGGAATCCCCCTTCGAAGCATTTTGGGTAGTCATGGGGATGGGATTCCCACGGAAGCAAATTCTAACCCATTTTCTCACAAGAGCCATCAGCTCGAGTTCCTTGGGGGAGTGCAGTCTTATTTGGAGGTCTGGGAAGGTAGGTTGGCGAAAACCCAGATAGCTGTCATCACTGGCAACATGCCCAGGTATCGCCTAAAATTCCCGAAATGCCATGATTGCTTCTAATGCCACGATTTGCTTTCAAAAGTGGAGTGCTCTTGAAATCCTAGGTTCTTCTTACGTTCACATGCAAAGTCTTACATGTGTGACTCTCTTGGTATTATCTTGCATCTTGACATAGGGCCAACTTTGGCCACTGAGACACTCTTTGCCGACCTTTGAAAGTTCTTGTTGTCAACCTTTGCTCTTTTCCAACATGGTTGCAACCCAGATTTCGATGGAACACGCAGAGATCAACAGATCCCAGGTCGACCCTTTGGCATACCATCATGGTTTGCACGTGTCTCAAATACGCGGATATCGAACCTCAAGAAGGTTGGACTTCCCATGGGTTTCCTCCGTCAACAACGTGAAACAAGGGTGTACCACCCAAAGACTCACGACTACTGCACCTGTTGGCCTTCAAACAACCGCTTTTCAAAGGCGAATGCTGGTGGCTAGGACCTGCCCAGAAGGGTCCGCCTGAGCGTGTGGCCATGTCTGGGCAAGTAAAGCAACCCATGGAGCTGCCAAGTCACTGCTGCAGCCGTGTCGACTGGATCTACACGAGACTTCCAAAGAGTCTTGACTTTGCGCTTTTTGGGTTTGGGCCATTCGGTGGCAAGTCTTGACATTGTTTGGCCAATCTACTCAGGAAGCAAGAAGAGGTGAAGATTCTCAGGCTACATTGTTTCCAAAAGCCAGATCCATTTGATGTCAAGGGGGACCTGGAACCTGGTTTCTTGCTGAAGTGGAAACGGGCACCCTCACAGACCCCACAGACATGGTTTCCATGAAGCCAGTGTTGCCACTCAGCCAGGCTGCTTTTTTCTCCACAAATCCCAAGTTCTGGCGCATCAGATTCCTTGCGGTGTCTCGGCTAGCGCGCGGAGCGGGTCGTCCCCTCGCCGCATGTCAGCGCGATGTGGCGAGCTCAGCTCAGCTGTTGGTTTGGTACTCCGAACCCTTTATACTAGCCCTAAACATTGGACATCGACCCCATAGTGTTGGGTAGTAATATCCAATTTGGAGGAAAGTAGTTTGAAGGTCCTGGTAGAAAGCGATTTCATCACTCAGGTGTGACAGGGCCTTTTTTGACTGTTTGGTTTTGTCAATGTTTGGCGCCGTCTTACATTGCCCTTTACTCAAACGATGATGGTGGAGGGTATTCAAATCCAAGGATGGGAGTGTGGAATGTTGTTTTGGCAGTTTTGGGCGTGGTTGGCTTGTGTTTTCGACGGGATTTGTGTGGTCAACATGACACCGTTGCTTTGTGTTGCAGGGCGCCCTGGGAAATCATATCCTTTTCCGGTTGGACGACCGGGGAACCAGTCGGGATGGGTAATTATGGGCTTCTGAACAAGATACAGTTTCGCCCTTCAAACTATGTTTCGCCTTTTTGGATCATGTTTCGATGTCCCCTTGTTGGCATGGTTATGAGCTCCCAGAAAGTTGCTTGGAACATGGCAACATGGTGAACCCAGTGAGGCTCCAACAAGGCGAAGGGCTACCGGGGTCCACTTGGGTTCTCTCCAAAGGGGAACGCGCAACCTCTCCCCCAAAAGGTACCCTCCCTCCCACGTTTCCATGGCACCTGACCGTTTTTTGTTTGAAGAGGAAAATGATCTTCCAGGTGCCCTCTAGCAGTTGCTATGTTAGTGGGAGGGAGGGTAGCAAAATGAATCACGCCCAGAATATGTATATAATATATGAAGGGGTCCATATCACAAAGGGGTCCTCCAATCATGACCACATCAAAAAGTCCCGAGCCCCGCGGGCCGCATCAAGGGTTCTCGCCACGTTTGTTTCAGCTGGGAGTCACCAATTGATGCACGTGTTGATTGAGGGCACACAAAGGTGTGAGCTTCTCTTGCTTTCAGCATCGGGTAAATGTAGTTGTCTCATGTTGCTTCCTGTGTTGGAAACGGGAACGATCCTGCCGATAAATGGGCTTGCCTGACATGCGTGGCATCACTTTGGTTTCCCTTTGAACAGGCGGGCCACTTTCCGTGATACTGCTGGGCAACATTTGAAAGATAGTGCCGGCTTCTGGGACGAGTTGGCACAGCCAGAGGCCAGAGCTGCAGGAGGAATAAAGACCTAAGTACAATCATGTCGCATCCAAAAACAACCCATGTGTGATCGAACCCAACCCACACAGCCAGAAAACAGAGGCCTGATCTGGGATCGAGGAAATCTGCGAGACATCGATTGAGAGGTTCGCCCACACTTTCTTGGTATGGCCGGTGAAATTTCTCAGGTGGCGGCAATCCTTTCCAGTGAAGTGCCAGGACTCGACCACGCGATGACTCGACGACGTGTTTTTGTGTTGTTTTTCTTCGGGGGTTTGGTCGGGTGTAAATATCAACCTCCCCCAGGCCCTCAGTGCCTCTGCTTTTTTTTTTTTTATGTCGAGGTTTGCCACAATCTTTGCGCTTCACATCCCCTCACTGAAATATGGATGGTAGAAATATATTTGGTTGGCCAATTTCAGTGGCGCTTTCCGGTCTTTTGGTAAATTTTGGCGAAGGGGGGTCCCTTCAAAATCAGGTGCCAACCAAAGGGCACCAGGGTCATGGAAACTCGTTGGAAACTGGGGAGCTTTGGATCCGGGGCTTTGGATCCTATGAATTTCGAGTTGCCCTTGCAACTTCCGCAATGTTTCAGAAAGATGTTTCGGAAAGGGTGTTGTTCCTGTTGTCTTTAAGATTCTGTTCATTCTTAGCGGGGGGCTGCAAAACACTTCTTTCCTTGGGCTACCATACCAAGGTTTGGGAAGAAAGGACACCCCCCCTCAAACGGTCATTTACGTCGGCCACTAATAGGCCCCAGTCCGGAAAATTCCGGTCTAGTCATACAGTCATCCACCTTTCTCCTCTTGTCATCCCACCAATCAAAGCGGGCGGTGGAGCTTCCTTGTGCTGGAAAAACACACCCCAAAAATCCGCATCCGAGCGGAAGAAGCGGACTTCTACCGGAGAAACATCCCCGCTCCTTGTCGACATTTTTTTTGGGCTCCTCAAAAGTGAGTGGTCTTCCTGGACCCTTGGGTCTGGGATTGAAGTTATCCACTGCCGCGCTCGCAGGATGGGGCGGTCAATCCGTACTTGACGGACAAGTGCTATGCTCAGTTGCCAGAATCGTCGGTTGTTTAGGCCGGACACATTGTCGCACCAATGTCGCACAAATGAATCCAACGTTCCCATTTCCCTGGTTTTTGTAGGGAGCCAAAGGAACCACCCGTCAAAAAACCACGAGGGCAATGGATCGAAGGGGTAGTTACTCAGGCAAAAAGCTTGGGACCCACTGACTGGAATGGGTTTCTTGGGTTGTGCAATAGTTTGTTTATTCTTTGATATCGAGGGCATCCCTTTTGAAGAGACAAACCAGTCATTCGGATGGCGTTGTCCACCTGGGTATAACACACACGCACACTCTCTCTCTCTCTCACACACACACACGCGAGCGCTGAGTTGACTTGACGCGTATGGCGAGCCTGGCGAAGGGCCCCTAGCTGGGTGCTCACAAAGTGGGGCTTCCGGGAAAGCTGGTGACACGGAGAGATGGGGTTGCTCGCAAAGTGTCCCAAAGCCAACTTA